AAAACGTTCACTTACACTATACTTACCGTTGGCAACTCTGGGAAAAAACTACAAGCAGAGCCATCTACCTTTCAAGTCGAAACGGGACGTTTCGCGGCACTTTTGAATTTGGATGGCAGTCGGCTCGATATGGATGGCCCGAATGAACTCCTACGTTGTGTAATCGGTTCTTTATATGTTGGGACGTGAGACATCATCGGGAAGGGAATTAAACAAAAGACAGAGAACTTTTGTGCGTAAGAAATGACAAAAACAAATAAATATATTAAAGCACATAACAAGACCATGCTAGGGAAACCTTCTACGGGACAAAAACCCCGGCATAGGGCACACAAATAAATGAAATAAATCACCTACACTACAGCAATAAAATGCAAGAGAAAATACACATAAATAAAATATCTCAAATTGTATGATAAAAATCAGATAATCAAATCAAATGCAATTAAACAAGTTCATAGAAACAAAATACACAAGACCTCAATCAAGTCAGTCAATTCAGTACAAAAACACATCAAAATACCTGTACGATCCATTGAGCTAACACAACTCGTAAAATAATAAATTGCATGTACATAGGAAACATGTAAATGGTGTGGCTCTACTCCAGCCTTCATTAACATAATTTTACTTAACACGAAAAGTACATGTGAGAACTCCACTAGCAAGTATTCATGTGAAAGTCGATCATTGCTCAAGCAGAACATATTTTAAATAGAGGAAATGTTAATGAGAGGACCTCTAAATATCTCGCATTGCTAAGATGCTAAGAACTGCAATCCGCACGAGACGAGTAGGCAACAGATACAGCGAAAGGTCGAACTGTATTAGGTACCTACCTACTCCACAGAGACATTTCGTAAAGCTAACGCACAAGAACTGCAGCGCGCCACGAATCAGAAAGTAACAGATACAGCGAACAATCAAACGGTATTAGGTACTTCCCTCACGGAATAGTTACGAATCAATCGAACAGAGCAACATCGCCCTGATAATCAACTCCTCGTGAATACAGAAATAAATACTTAATAAAACAAAATAATGGTATACATCCTGTACAGTATAACAAACAAACATGATTCAGATAACTGTACTCAAAACAAAGGCATGGAGTACGCCATGATTCAGATATCGTAGTTTATGCAAAATCAGTAAAATGTAAATAATTTTGGCAAGAAATTGAATTATTAATAGCTAGTACATACAAGAAAGAATAAAATAGTTACTACCTGTAAATACACCTTCACAACACCACAATCAAAATAATCAAGAATAAAAACCGGGAACGAGTGATTCCTTCCGTCGACCCCGTCGCCATCTTCTCTCTTCCGCCACGTTTTTTTCCTATAATAGCTTCGTTACGAAAATCCCCTAGTATTCGGCATCTGCGCAAAACGGTCGATTGGTTATATACAGAGCATATCATATTTTTGTTTCAGATGTAAATGTGTGTTGCCTAACCATAAGGGTTGATTATCATTGATCACAGTTGTATTATGGGACAAAACTATAGCCGACTACAAAAATCGGAATTCTATTGTTCATGACGCTTCACCCTGTATAATAGTTTTACTCTGTGTCGTGAAACAAGTCCTATGTACCTGGTTCTGGATTCAATATACGGTCATTGACAAAAGTAATGATTGCCTAATAAATAGGGAAACTTTGCAGCATGATCAACTAAATTATCTATCACATCGGGTTCCGTCGGGTTCTTCATTGAAGAGGTATGTACCTTAATTTGTTGGTTCGCATTTGTTGCACTATATATTGAAATGTTGGTTATGTATGCTGCAGGGTTTACCTATTCGGCGATCATTACCTTTGTCAATGACGTACTTACCAAAATCATTTTCCATTGTCGTTCCCGAAACATCACCACAGCTTACTTTTAGAGAAGGAAAGAGAGAGAGAGGAGTGATAATAATGATCGTATAATGAAGCCAAGTTAGTTTGTTTGGTCACCCAAACCATGACCGCTTAAAGTTCATTGGCGTAAGGTTTCATATTTTTCCCATAGATACTACCATTGTTTGAAATGTAATGTGTGTTGGCTAACCATAGGTTATGTCACGAAAACATTGAAGGTCATGACATGCATCTACGTGTCAATTTTAAGCTCAAAAGCGCCTTTAGACTAGCCAGAAAACTCACGCGATTTACTGTCGGACACTACTGTCGTAAGTGTATATAGCATTGCGAGTCCATTTGACAGAACTCGTGGAACAATTCTCGCGACACTTTTCTTGCCAGTCTAAACAGGCAAAAGTGCAGCTCACCAAATACTCGCAAACTTTCCATTTCGTTTCGATATTTCGGCGAGGAAACGTGCAAATTTTATTAGTACCCTGCTTTTTACTTTTGCGATAGCAATGGCTCACCTAACTTGCCTGACAGTTTATCACGACACTTATAACAAAGAGTATTTTACTCTTTGCTTATAATTGTTCATACTAGTATAAATACATGTGGAAGTCGCTGGCGCAAGATTGTCGCAAGTAATTTGCTAGTATACCTGCGCCTTTGCAGCAGTTCGTTGAATGCGTTCTAATCACGATAGTTAAGTCACCAACAGATGGTGACAGTTGACACAAAATAACTGTCATTTTCAAACTTTAAAAAACGGTTATTCTACATCTGCCACCTAGACCTACATTCGCTAAATGCAAAATGATTTCAAGCACAGGTTTTCGAATTGCATTTGAGCAAGAAAGTCGGTAACCCTGTTTGTAGTTTCATGTACGTCTAATTTGTTGTTTTTAGATAAAGTGACAGCGAGCAGAAAAGCAAATTTACAAAAATCGACCCGAAAACCACTATGTGATAGAGCTATCAATCACACTCCGCAACCTAACGGAAAGGTAACGTCTCTTAAAGCTTCGACAAATGTACAACAAAAAGAAGTCATCGTGCAAAAACCGAAAGAGCCCAAAACCTACCCAGAATGGTTCTCCGATGTATGTTCTTTTAAAGGACTAGAAAGTATAAGTTGATTGCTGATTTAATAAGATGCACTAAACTTACTCTAGCAGGATATGACGACATCGACATTCAATTGGAGCCACAAACAATCGATGTACCACATTTATTAAACTTTATGCTCAATCCGAAAACACCACCAATTAAGGCTAAGGAGTTTATTCCGCAGCTGCATTCGCCTGTAACAATTGATGTTAATTATGACGACGATAACTTTCCAGAAATTCCAATTGAGGACATTGAGATTCCAGAATGTTCTTTTTGACTTTAGTGTTTTTTGTAAATTATTCATTTCTGTTATGTAAGCGTGTTATTAATAAATATAGTAGCGAGACATTAATGTGAAGTTTTTTCTATTTTTAATTGTGGTAGGCTGGTAGGGATTAAGAATTTGAAGTACAATATACTTGTAATGCAATTGGACTGGAACTGAAACACAGCAGACACCTTGTTTACTCTTGTGCGGGTGACTCCGAAAAAATGCTTAAGGCACTCGTATAAAGTATACTTCCTTTGAACAAGATTTTTCTAATTTTCTCGAAAAGGAATTGACCCATTTAAAAAATCAAATGTTGAAATAAAGGACTTCGAAAGATCTTTCAAACAAGGTATTACTTGATGCCACTTGTTATTTATAATTTTTAAGGGAATGGATGGCCCGGGGAGGGGGGCAGGGGGTGACGTAGTTTTTGGTTAAAAGTTGTCCCCTTTGACAAATCTTTTGACATGTCTCGCCATATTTTCCTTTAATTAGTAGTTTTTGATAAATCCGTGGTGGGAAGTTTTCAAATGAACACCCTGTATAACATTGTTCTGTATAGGGTGAGTCAACGATTGCGTGGAGTAACTTAATGCCTTGAAGATAAGATTTTTCGATAGAGTGCTTTTGTATTATGATATGGTTGAATATTCTCCACATTTTAAGAATATTTGGAATTATACAGAGTGCACCCACAAAGTAGGGCGCCCAAATGGTACATTTTTTTGAATAGAACCCCCTGTATTTGAATGCATTTTTGAATTCTACGTGTAACTGTTCGTTTTTTTTATTATATGGTTAATATCCGAAAAACTGGTAGTTTTAAAGATAATTCGATTTGTAAAAAAAATTGGGCATTTGCAAGCGTCAGTATATTGTCAAAATTATTACTTAAATTTTGATTCCAGGTTTTATATCTTTTATCCTGGGTTAAGTAAAAGTCAAATAAATACATCTACCATGAAACATTAAAAAAATAGCATTCAAATACAGGGGGTTCTATTTAAAAAAATGTACCATTTTGGCGCCCTCCTTTGTGGGCGCACCTTGTATAATTCCAAATATTTTTAAAATGTGGAGAATATCCAACCATATCATAATACAAAAGCACTCTATTGAAAAATTTTATCTTCATGCTATTAAGTTACTCCGCGCAATCGTTGACTCACCCTGTACATGTGTTTGTAACGGAACTCCTCCTATAGATCGTCTCACGTAAGAAAGGAATCGGGAGAAAGTAGTGTAACCTCCCACTAAGTTTATTGTGGGTGGTTCCAACGGCCCGAATAATTACCAGTTTTATACCTATCTTTATTCAAAGCACAGCGACATTGAGATGAACAATAAACTTAGTGGGAGGTTACACTACTTTCTCCCGATTCCTTTTTTACGTGAGACGATCTATAAACGGCTGCACGGAGTTTAATGTGTCTCTGTGTGTCCCCGGATAGTTTAGATTCATAATTGGGTCTGATCAGATTTTGTTTTTCAAAACGTCTTTTTTGGTTGATGTTGCACTCTGCTATTTCACATACCGATTGATACATGCACAATGTCACTTGTCTCGTACCATGACGATGTGTTCACTTTTACTTTGTCTGTATGTTGGGTTTCATACATCTGTCAATATCGAGTGTACGAAGTCGCGGGGGGAAAATCTACTTATAAGTAAAATGCCAACACCAGGTGGCGCAGTTTCAAACGGTGTTTGGCTTACTACAGCACAAAAGCTTTACTACCAATAGCAATTAAAAAAACGATATTAAAATATATGGTTTTATTAAACAAAAACCTACTGATCTTGACTCGCAACAAAAAATGCATATAAAGGCACACTGCTCATAACACATTTCTCCCAAATAACAACAAAAATTCAGTCTTCATTTTGTGTGGCATTGTCTGTAATTAGTGTATGCAATCGATCGTTATAGAGTCTTTTTGCATAACTTAGTTGTTGCGACACAGAATGTGCAAGTTCCATCGAGTCGCACCGTATTCTTGGCCTTTTTATTGGATCTGTATGGGCAAACTGAGCGGTGGCACTAGACACCCGCATCGTTATGTCAATATAGTGTCTTATTTCCGAACCCTCTGTCAGCGTTACTGGTTGGCATTGTAATACGTCACTGAGAGAAAAAATTAAAAATTGACAAAGTGGGTGTGGTCATACCTTATGTGAACCTCTAGAAAAGTGGTAGGGGAACTATTTTTGGTGCCAGTCACAATGCGAACGTGCTCGTTCGAAATAATTATTCGAAGATCTTCGGAACCACTTCGCAGGGACTCGTACGCGACCAGTTGTTCTGTGTAGTTCCTGAAATCCAAGCTTTTTGGTTAGTGGGTTTTTTAGAGGACTTTTTAGATAATTAACTGTGTGTAGATTGTCATCTCTACTACATTGACTTCTTCAAATGTACGACAAATGTATACAAACCTTTTGTTAACAGTGTACAAATGTTGCTGTCCGTGACTTTGCTTATAACTATAACAAGGAAGTAAACCCCCCGCGCCGACAACGCACCGTGGTGGTCTAATCTTATCAGGTACTATACGATTTGAACTGCAATGAGTGTGAGAATTATTGATCGAAACATTCCAAATGCTTACCTTCGACTAGAATCCCGTACAGCTCTTGCGGTTTCCGATGCCAAATCTAGGACGCCGACAACCGGCTTAGTAACCGCACCAACAATACCTTTGCCAAATCCCGAGAATACGCCTTGGATACCTTCATTTGCTGCACCTTCGTAAACTTGCTTAAAAATTCCTGTGGCGCCACCTAGTATTCCAAGCCCGAGACCCTTAAATCCGGCGACAATGTGATCGCCCGTCCGTCCGCTATCCACCTGTCTAATTCTTTGGCGTATCTCCTCGTGCTCGTCATCCATGGCGACTTTACCTAAACCGTCAGAGAGACTTTCCGTCACCTTGGCAGCAGAATTTGAAAGTCCATGCGTTACGTTCTTTACCAGCGCTCCGACCGAGTGCTCGTAGATCAACCCCGACATGCCTTCCGACACGTCGTTTATAAAGCCAATGGGATTGCCGAGAAAGTCGGTCGATCCCAATATAATTCCCGCTTGCCATAGCAGCTCGTCTTTGAAGTGTTTTATGATGAAGCGAGACAGTATTTGACTAGTTTCGAAAATGTGCTGTTTTATGAAAGGTTCGAGTTCAACGGCGGCGTCTTCAAACTTTATAAACGTAAAGCCCAACTTGCGCTTAATTATTTGCAATTGAGGTGGTAGTTTGTTGGCCGTGGTCATACTTAGCCGAATTTGATCCAAGTTTAATTGAATTATTCCAAAATAGTACCTGTGAATTGAATCATTTATAAAGGTGCGTTTAGACTAAAAAAAAATTACCTGGTGGAATGCGTCGCAGATACTTCCATTAATAATCGTTGCGTCTCAGAGTCGCTCTTTTCAATGTTGCTCCACATTTCGTCACCTTTGGCCCCAGTTTTTAGAAAAGCACACAGTTTTAATAGCATCTTTTCCTCCAAATTAACTGTTAATTTCTTTAGGCGAACCATTAAATGCTAAAAAATTAGTTTAGATTACTTGCAAAGTGCCCATTTTGCGCCCATATCCTATTGATTAGTTTTTAATTTTTAACTTTGGTGTCGTTTAGCGAAACTGTTTTTTGGTTTTCTTATGCCCCACAAAGTGTCGTACAATAGCCTCAAACCTTTCATAAAAAGATGTATTTTTGAAATCCCCATGGCCAAATCCCATCGGAAAAGCGAGGATCCTTGACAATTTTTTTCTTCGGTTTTTGTAGGCTGAGGCTGAGGATGTTTTTTTTCGCGCAAAATTCGCGAGGCCTGTGATATGTATTTGAAGTTAGCGTTCAACGTACGTTATTGCACTTGCCTGATTTTCAGACAATCAGAGATTGGAGTAGTACGTTGAACGCTAATTTCAAGGCCTCAGGATCCTTCGCTAAAAAATACATTGCCATTTCCCTATGGTGCAATTGTTTTGAATTTTTAAGAGCTATTTATGTTTTTGGGAATATCACTTATATAAAGTGACTTTTTTTGAACATTTCGATTCAAATCATCGGAGTTCGATATTTCACAATCGTGAATGATAGTGATCGTAGGAAAAAAGGTTATTTAGAGACGTCAAATCCCTGTCAAACAACTGCCGATTTTTAGTTTCGTTTTTTAAGTCATACGCTCTGCTCCGGCGGCACGCCGCCTCGCTTCCCTCCGATCTGATAGATGTTTGTTAGTTGCTCAGCTTCACCTAGCCCTATTTATTCATTACACCACATTTTAAAAAGCGTAATTGCTCCACAAATAGGAAAATTACATGTTGCGCATGCGCAGTATGATTTTTGGCGTAGGCATGTTGTTTGCTTTTATTAGAGGGACACATAATACAAATTTCGTTCAGACGGCTCCATTAAAATTACGCATGCGCAGTACGATTTTTGGCGAGTGCATTTTGTTTGATTTTATTAGAGAAGCCTACCATAAAAATGTAGTTCAAATTACTCCAGAAATATGAAAGGCAATAAGCATTGCGCATGCGCAGATTGGTTTTTTGGCACGCACATGCGATTACATTCTAGAACGTGCTAAGCCATATAGGAAACAATCGTAAAAAAACCGCATCATTCTAGTCCTCGGCGTTTCCGAAATTAAGCCAAAATATGGAAAAAGTAGAACTTTTGGCAATTTGAGGGCGGGCTTTAATAGAAAACCCGAGTGTAGATGCCACCTAGTCTCCCGCTTGTATAGGACCGTTGACACATCCCTCGACCGGCCTCGCACATTTATGCAAATTTGCCGTCGACTCTAAAATGCGGCCGGTCGATATGTGTTACCAACTTAAAAAAAGCTTCAATGTCTTCTAGCACTCGTCGTTTTTCGATAAACACCCAAATACAAATAGGTTAGTCAAAATAGGTGGTTAAGGTAGAAAAAATTAGTAACAAAGTGATCTCGCGGAAATGAGTACCCAATAGGGTCCTTTATTAACCCCTCAAAAATCGCACTTTGTCGCATTGGTGGAACTTGGAAAAAAATGGCTGCCATCTTGATTTTTTTCGAATTTATTAAATATTTCATAAAGTATACATTATATCAAAAAAACTCAAGAGACATTCAATTATTTGGTTCCCTCTACTTACCTGCTACATTAAATATATCCAAATAATTCACATGGAGCAATACATCAATAAAAAAAAAAAAGATTCATGATATTAATGTGCTGTTTGGCAGCTTCTTCGGTTGGTGGTAGTGAGGCTAAACACAATTCTGAATTTAAGCTTTGACGTAACTGGTTAATATCATGAATCTTCTTTGGAAACCGGTACAGATTTAAAATAATTTTAAGTCCTGATTTAATTAAAACTGCTATATCTGCATTAAGTTCCTGAAATGCATCTAAGTCTCGACACAGATGTGATAATTACCCAAATCATATATTGTATTATAGGTAACTTTTGATTCTCCATAAAAGTCTCTTGAGTTTTTTTGATATAATATATACTTTACGAAATATTTAATAAATTCGAAAAAAATCAAGATGGCGGCCATTTTTTTCCAAGTTCCACCAATGCGACAAAGTGCGATTTTTGAGGGGTTAATAAGGACCCTATTGAGTACTCATTTCCGCGGAGATCACTTTGTTACTAATTTTTTCTACCCCACCTGCCTAAAAAAAAGAGTGTCATTTATTGGTAGTTGAGGGGGGGAGGGGTCGATGATTCGGAGGGTACCAATATGAGACAAATGTAAAAAACTGCATCGCTCTAGCTTCCTGGGTTTCCGAATGAACGCAAAAATACGATAAAAAGTCATTTAGAAGCAGGGGGGGGGGGGGATTGTGGAGGCCGGAGGGTATAAATACGAGACAATCCTCGAGACAATCGTAGAAAAACCACATCGTTCTAGCTCTCGGTGTTTCCGAATAAACATCAAAACGACGAAAATGTATCGTTTAGTGGTTAGTTAGTGGAGGGCTGTGGGAGGGGGGGGGGGGGAGAGGGCGAAATGACGCAAAAACTTACGCTCTCCGATGTCTCGACTAAATACTTTTTACCGACGTGAGAGGTTCCACCCTGTATATAGAAGTTACACATTTTTGAGAGTTGGCAACCATGCAATTTCTAGGTGGTAAAAAAAGCTGCCTGCGCCATCTAAAAAACACGAATACGAACGGGTTACGTTTGGCATCTTGTCTTGAATGGCGGTCGTGACCGCGCCGCTCCATAAATGTTTGCTGCTATTTTGTGTTATTTAATGCAGATAGTAATTTTTGCATTTCTTTATATCGTATTTGTGTTTTGTATGCCACCTTTTATATTTTGTGTGTGTTTGAATCTTTGTTTTTGAAATCTACTTGGTTTAACCGCAATGCAGAATGACAAATGTGATACCGTTATGCTATTGTTTGTAATTGTTTACGTTTTTGGTGTAATGCTTACTCAATTTATGTTTATTGATATTGATTCCTTGGTCTTGTCCCTGAAGTAACATTCATATCAGTTTTAATCAGTTTATTTTAATATGTGGAAATTACCGATTCGTTTGATGTATATACTGACTTGTTGTTTGTAACTAACAATTTTCTCCGTGAATGAAGCAGTCACGGGGGTAATAAAAACTGTAGTCAACATTGAGCTACGACACCTAATTCAGTGATTGTCTTCGACATTCAACTGTAGGCTCGAAACCTCGAACGAGGGGCAAGGCTACCTATCTTGCGGGGGCGAGATTATGCTAATCAAAACTCTTCAGTTTTGAATATATCTGCAATAAATGAGTTACGATTTGTAATTTCCACATATTTCGTTTTTAGTTAAATTTGCCTACAAGGCTATGTAATTTTCCATCTTGCTTTTAACAAAAGGACTTTATTACACCAAATATGAGTCACATCCTGTGTATTTCACCCTTTCTTACAATCTTGGTACTTGCTTACTTGACCCATAATTCCCAAAACTTGTTTTTAACCTAAATGTTACCTCTTGTTTGGTCTCTATAGTTTCTATTAATAATAGTTTCAAAAATTTATTTATTATTATTTATAATATTTGTTTGAGGTCTGCATGGTACCTTTTGTGTTGTTATAATTTTATGTTACGCATTCACATCATTACAAAACAATTAATTTTACTACACAATTTAATATTAGTTTGACGGCTGGTTTTTTTATTGGTAAGTTCTTTTTTCCCAGCCTATTTCTATTTTAACCGGTGAACTACCATTTTCAAAGTTTATTTTTGCAATGTAATTTATTTCGACTGAAATTTCCGAGCTTTTACAATCATAATAATTACAATCATTATTAAACAAACTTTTCACAATTTCAGTGTTTTATTTAACGTTCCTTCCCTACTGTGCTTCAGGTCATAGCGTTGTTTACAACTAACGTAAGGCGAGTCCTGCCTTAGATGTTTGATCAAGTGCCACTTTTCAAATTTAAGCGGGATCTTGTTTATTGGAAGTCATTCGGGTGGCCATTTTTAAACGTTGCCGGGTTGACTTTATTTCCGTGTTCTTGTAGTGTGAAGTTGGCGTAGAACCTGGGGGTTAAGTACACTACAGGCGATTATTCAGTAACTTCATATTTCGTCCACTTTTCGTTCGAAAATTTCCCCAACTTTCTCTCTTAGTCGAAGGGAGGCGGGTGGTACGCCGTCATTTGGGGGACGTTTTGAGCCGCATTCCAACAATAGTTTTACGCGGGCGAGTTGGCGCTATCGATAAATGGCGTTTCGAGAAGGGGAGGATGCCAAGTGTCCTTTTGGCACCTTCGCTCACTCTTAGGGCAGGCCCCCGCGGGAAGGGGGGCGTCGCTTTCGAACCTTAATTCTCCTACTCCCACAACGCGGTTGGAAATTTTTTTCAAATACGCGCAACCTCGTGAAAGGCGGCTGGGGGAGGAGGACGAATTTTTAGGGGGCAGTGAACCATACAGAAAGTTAAAAATTAGAGATTAAAAAATACGGGGTACTTTGCAGGAAAGGTCAGGAACTGCTTTGTATCTTCTATAATCTTACCTTAAATATCACAGAGTTCTCATTTGGCGTTGGTTGCACTTCGGCTGTTAATTCGAGTGCAGGCAATTTGTGCTGGGCCATATCCACACTACGTGTTCCAGGAGGAGTTACATATAATACGACAGAAACCGGCACATCAAATAACTAAAACATTACAAACTGTGAAATATCCAACATATCAAGGCAAACTTACTTGGTTATCGACCTGTACATCTTTCACACTAATGCATAATGTTCTAGACATTGAGGTTAACACAACTTCACTGACAATACTTGTAAAATGAGCATATAGCAACTCTTCATATGGCCTACCGGAAATAATATTAACACCAACACCAAACAGTCGTAATATGAACTGCATTTCCTTGGATTCCACAGTCCCGTCAGAGATAACAGTTAAATTAGGTCTTTGCTTTATCGCAATGCTGCCCCAGTCTTTTTCATCGGATGTGGCGTACAAATGCTGTTCCTTTCTGTCGTGTATAACTAAAACTCTAGTGGGACCGTCAGTGCGAACTTCTACCGATAAGAAACCAGAGCCGGGCCTGAGGCGTTGTCTAGCGACCGCTTGCTCTAATGGTAGTCCTGTACTTGTAAAACGATGGCAAACTGGCTGTGGCAGTCCTAAGACTGCCGAACTCCCTGAAAAACAAAATTAAAATTAGCCACAATTTTATATGCTGCAAACAGCAAGCGCGCACACACACATAAAACTCAAATACATACATTGCTGCCAACAAGCTACATAATTTTGACCTCCTAAAACACGCCCTTTTTTAAGAAAACAAAAGTCAAAAATAGTCCACTAACCAGGACGAAGTCCAAAGAATCCATCTTGCGCTTGCACGCACATGTTATAGTGGGCGCAGCACAGTCGACCTTCCTCTGTAAAACGCCATGTCTGTGTGGAGCGCCTGCGCGGATCCACTCGACGCAGCATTAACCGGGTGTAGTTGGTCGGTTGTGGCGCCGGTCCCTCTATATCGAGCACTAAGATGTTTTCCGTCCTCATCTGTTGAGGATGAGACGGCGGACTGCTACCTTCATGTTGCAACTGCCCTGTGGTAGTCATACGCCACAGCTGAGATCTCTGCCCAGGTTGTTTACGTGCAATCACAATCTGCGTGTTATTCACCACATCTAAAACGAGCTGCTGACTTTCGACGTCTAACGGATCTAAAATATCTTCGCCACTGCAAGAAATGAAAAATTTAAATTCTGACGAGGGTAAGTAATGGCATACTTTTTAAAAGTTCCAGTAAACGCGATGTAAATAAAGTTCTCGTAGGTTAGACCACTTGCGCCGCCCAGAATATTCATATTGTAAGTGTTTGATACGCCACCAGGTGCCGCCACGTGTAAGTCGGACGAGCCCATTGGCTCATCCCATGCATATGGTACGCTTGTGTGAGCTCTCGCAATACTGCGCGTCGCATCCTTGGAACACAACTGGCCGAAAGTAATTGGCACCTCTGAAAAGTTATCAACTCGAATGGGAGGAGGCATTTTATCTGCGTCAGTGAATATCACAAAGAATGTCGCTCCTTGTATGACAATTTCCAACCGCAAAAAGTACATTCGATAGTGTATATCTCTGAAATATTTTTATGAGTGTGTCCAGTTACGTTAACTTTCTACCAATTAATTACCTCACGTTTAAGTGCATTGAATCAATTTTGTCTATTTTGAAACCGCCTGACCAGCAGCAGTCTGGAATATCACAGATCAGTACGCACACATGTTGCTCTTTGTCCAATCTTGGCCAATGGTATGGTATGTAGCAATCGGGTACAACTTTTAAATAAGTTTTTTCGGCAGAAGGATCAGACTGAAACTACTTATTAATACGTGTCAAGTTGATGGTGAGACTTACGACTGTTGTGGCCAAACAAGCTTGTGCGAATAACAAATTGTATGAACTTTTATTATGCAATTGAAACCGTGGAGAGATCGTGACGATACTTGTCGCACGATATTTACCACGCCCCATTCTCACTTCGATACCAATGGAGTACACGACATCAGGTTGTCCGTCCCTGAAGGTAACACGAAGCTTGCGCACCTTAATCCCTCTTTGAAGATCAAAATCTTGACACCACTAAAAGTCTCAATTACAAGAGGTGCATCAGTGTTATTAGTATACCTGAGCAGAACCGTGTGGCACCACTGCATTGCCCACACGAACAACAATACTTGGACTAGCATCAGGATCCGAAAAACTAAACAGTAAAGGCGCCACCATGCGCGCAATTTCGTGCTCTTTGAACTGACCAGCAGTTTCCGAGCTGACACCTTTTTGCCTAAATACTAACGGAAGCCCAGTTTTATTAATAATCCAATATGGCGCTAACACAGTAATCTGGTGAAGAAATGTCAGGTGGTACTGGTAAATTTTGAAAGTTTACCTTAATTCTAGCATCACTGTATGGTACGACTAAGGCTTGTAGAAATAATTTACGGCCTGCCTTGTCTTCGAAACGAATACGACAGGTGAAACTAGACGTGCAATTGGCGGGTATTATCAGAGCGCTGCTTACTGGAAAGTTTTCCAGATGGAGTTTTAACTCATTCTCGCGTTCGGCATCAACCTAAATGAAACGATATTCTTTCTTAAATAACTTTTTCAAATATTTTTCGAAGAGACATTAAGTATGTAATTGGTAAGAAAGTAACGGGCGATCAAAAATGAGTTGCTGTCGAGTCGCCTTTGGAAGTTCAAGTTAAGTACGATTTCCCATGGAAACAAAAATTCCAAAAATGACTCGACAGCAGCTCATTTTTGATCGCATAGTATTATGTTGTGTAAACAACGTCAGGTAGACGTTATTTCGGTTTAAACACCAAAAATAATGACAGGATAATATTTCAATTTTATCAGTGTAAATCCGGGGGATGGTTGACGAATAAGTATAAAGTTGCACTTGAATTTGTTATCTCAGTGTCTATCTTTTCTTTAGTAATTGTTTGTAATTGTGTAATATTCGATTTAGATAAGATGCTTTAAATAGGACTCATCTGGGTTCAAAGAATTGCGCGTTTCATATTGGAGAAGTGTGAGACGCGTTCCTTCGAAGCTGACGTTATCAAGTTTAATTGCGATGGGCGGTTGATTTAACAATTCCTGAGTCAGAAGATTAAGTGACTGATAAGTGCGCCTGAATATCGCGAACCTTTTACGACCAGATTATTGGGATTATTTGAAAAAAACCGTAAGTAATTTTAAGATTGTTTTATTTTATTTATAGACCGCCTGCGTGCGGGATATTTATGCCGAAAGTATTTATGTTTGTTCTAGAAGTTCAAGATACAAGGGAAAAGTAATTAATTCGCCGTTTGCAACCGTTCCCGTCAAGATATTTCATTTATCTTTGTTGCGTCCGAAAGCTCTTGTCATTAGAAGACGAGGGGAAATTAATATTTTAGTTTTTAGTTTCCAATTGTATATGAAACCGAGCGTTAAAACTGCAAAGCCACGCAGGTTTGCGCCGGTATAAGTTTGATAAGAGACGTTTTGCCTGACCTGAGAAATTCCAAGAGATAATGGGGGTTAATTAGAAGGACGAAGTCTGAAATTTCATTTCGCCCATTTAAACGAGTAATGAACAGTAGCTAATTAAATGAGTTGCGATTAAGTCGCGATTTCATTAGAAGCGCGCTTAATTAATTGAAATTTTGTAGTATGTCCCCGATTTGTATGATGACCAGAGGCCGAGAAATTAATCAAAAAAGTTATAATTTTTGGACGTTCTTATCCGAATACACGGGTCTAACAATAAAATGACCGATTTTTATAAAAGCTAATGTCGTTGTTTAGAGGTGATTATAGTTTTGTATTCGTACCGCTTAATTTATGCTTCTGCATTAAGTTGACTGCACCGTATGTACAGCTTTTTGCTGCTTTGTGTTCCATTAATTATGAAGATGGATATTATTTCACTTTCCTACATTTGCGTTCCCGTACACACCGCTAATTAATTTGTGTTTTGTTGCTTTCATTCCTACTAGGGAAGCTGCAGTATGGGCCCTGCCTCGAATTTTGTTTTAGTGCTTCCGAAGTGACCGCCGCTGCCATGTGCTGAATTCGTCTGAATCCTGGAGCTGGCGTTTACTTTGATTGAGTTTACCCGAGACTTCCGCGACCGTTTCGCCACTGTCGCCGACCTGGACCAGGGGCATGGTCGTATTCCGTTGGTGGCGTTTGAATAATTTTGAATAATTTGTAATTTGTTTATTTTTCATACCAATTGTGCGCGGACCTACTACCGAAGAAACTAAGAACCGGCATCCAGGAAGATGAAAAGGGGCGGGGGGGGGAGATCATTTTAAGCGACCGGTATTAATAGACGTTACGGGTTTAAAAAAAAGCTACAAAAACACTTGAAAAGTGGGAATGACCAACAAAAAAATTATAAACTTGAGGGAAAGATGGAACAAATCCAGAACGGCGAATGTGAAAAACGGATCTACGATAATCGACCATTTACAAACGATAGAAAACGATGTGTTTTCAAAATAATTAAGGTAATTAGTTTAAATACAAGGACGGGGTATTGTAACAGGAGTCCGCCAATGGAGTTTATTTAATTTGAATTTCCTGAAGTTTTCGATTTTTTATGTGGTCGAATAGTTATGAGTGCGACCCTGATCAGTTAAACGCGTGTGAAAGTTGGAAGCGCCGAAAAGTAGCCGCTTAAGATGAAATTAACTACAATCACGCGATGGTCCTGCTGTTATATCCGCTAGTTATCAGGGTGCCGCGTGTTTTGTTTTCTGTCAATGCGGCGGAATTTTGAGTTTGAGAAGAAATACCAATTTGACTTACAATAGCCGTTCAATCAGGAGACCTAAGTTTCTGCAACGCCCGTTATTTCAGTCCATTTATGGGATGATTCGGTATTTTAAGTTGTGCGATCGGAATGACATCGTTATGATTTTCGTTTAAATGTAGGTAATATTAAATAATGAGAATCTTTAAGCTGAGTGCAAAAGTTAGATTTTAAGATTAAAAAGCTCTTTGCCATGCTTTTGCATTTAGTAAACCGCCACACCAAATTTTTAGTGATTTTTTTTCGAAACAACAAGTGGATAACGAACCAACTGAATTCTTCGTAGCTAACCCACGTTTGCGTTTATCGCGTTTACTCCGGGCCTACACGAAGTTCACAAACTAAACATGGTTTACACACTTCTCAGTTTACGAATAAGAGAACGGTTACTCCGAGACAAAGTAAATAACTTAGCCACGCTGATTGACAAGGCGCGTTCTATTAAAGAAAATTTTACAGATAAAGCAAATCTGCGAACTTCTCGAAGGTACACCTCATTCTCTATCAACCAACCTAATACGATTAAACCTAGATGTGACTATTGCCATAACTTATCTGAAAACAGATTGTAGGATATATGCTGTAACATAGAGCAGTGCCAATAACCTCTGCAGAACACAATGTTGCAAGCGTCAACAACAAACTGGTGCGCTTTGGATGTGGTAGACCTGACTACGTAAGGTCCCAATGTCCCCAATGTAAATCGATGCCATTAACCAGATGACCGAGACAAAACAGGGTTCCTGACTCCTTTCGGTATTTTCCGTTTTCGATGTATGCCTTTCGGGTTGCGTAATGCGGCTTCAACATTTCAAAGACGCGTAGATCCATTCCAAGTGGGATTATCGCACGTAAAAGTGCCTGCGTATATTAACAACCTCATTATCTTGCTCATTCGAGGTACCGGGTAACCCAATAAGACTGTTCCTCGGCCATATGTCGGGAACCGTTCGTCGTATGACTTAGGGTTAAAAAATTATTGGGTGAATCCGTTATGAAGAATCGCTGGAAAATATTTTCAAGTTCTAAAAATGACCACCAGAGGGCGTAACTGCCATCTTAAATTTTGAAATTGCATTTCCTTTAAATTTCGCATTATAAACTAAACATTCTTTTTTCACATTTTTAAAGAGAACCAGTTTATCATTTTCGTAAAAACAAAAACTCAGTTATTTCAAAAGCATAGATGGCGTGGGGCGTTCAATTGCTTTTGCAATAACCTGCTTTAACTTCTTAACCGTTTGGCCGATTGTAACAAATTTGGTAGGTATTGTTGAAAAGAGCATTCCTTGGGCCGCAAGAATCAACCATAGTTATATACTTAATTTAGTTGAATCCTTCTCCGCCAGGAGACTAGTTTTGACACTATGATCCAAAATCCTAAAAAAATCAAATGGAATTGTATAACTTTTTCATTAGTAGCCAAATAACACCCAAAGAGGCCAGTGCAGTGAAAACCGTTTTTCAAAATCTCGTTCCTACCCTCAAATATTGGGAAAATGAGATTAATTAATAAAAATGCTTAAATTGTATCTTATTTGACGTATTTCCGGTATTTGTCGATGGCGCGAAAGATTGTTTGGAAAAGGACCCTACACTTTTAGGTAAGCCTTGGAAAATTAAACAAATGAAACACAATGCATTATAAAATAATAACAGCCATAATTTGTAAATTATTCTGCTGTGTTTACATTCAGAAAGTGCAGTTTTTTGAATTTGTAATTTTTTCTAAAATGCCGATTTCTAACCAAGAAGCATTTAATATGCTGGCGACGATGGCTCGTGGTCGATTCGGAACGCAAATAGAAGATGTGAGCAGCGATGGTCGCATTTTGAATATACTCAAAATATATCGCCAGCATATTAAATGCTTCTTGGTTAGAAATCGGCATTTTAGAAAACATTACAAATTCAAAAAACTGCACTTTCTGAATGTAAACACAGCAGAATAATTTACAAATTACGGCTGTTATTAGGCAATTTATAATGCATCGTGTTTCATTTGTTTAATTTTCCAAGGTCTACCTAAAAGTGTAGAGTCCTTTTCCAAACAATCTTTCGCGCCATCGACAAATACCGGCAATACGTCAAATAAGATACAATCTTAGACCATATAGTACATGGACTGCTATTTGCCCTATGCTTTCAATACAAAATGGGTGGTCACGGATAGAGGGCACTGTAGTCGTGGGTATGTGAATCTCAGGGTAAACTAAAGTCGTATGAACACCACTCGAATCGCGTAAAGAGCAGCTTTATAGTAACCGCGTAGTACGGGAAGCTTTAAATACTCTTCATTATTTGCTATACGTCCACAAATAAGAATAAGATTGCTTTTTTGGAATATCTAGGCGATTAATCAATTGACGTTTGTTAATTTATAGGTTGACAGTCTCAAATCGTGTCTCATCGGACAACTTCGGACCGACTCGTTTACCCTGAAACTCACATACCCAGGCGATGTCCTTGACCATATTTTAGTTACAATTAACAGTCCATGTACTATATGGTCTAAGGATACAATTTAAGCATTTTCATTAATTAATCTCATTTTCCCAATATTTCAGGTTAGGAACGAGATTTAGAAAAACGGTTTTCACTGACCTCTTTGGATGTTATTGAAAAAGTCATATCTAAAGTCACTAGATATAGAAAGTACCGCAATCATCCGCCATTTTTGGGCAAATTTGCTGCCAACTTAAAAAAATTGAGAAATAAAATCTGAATGGCTGTCATTTTTTATAACCTAACTTCATTGTACTGTCATGTTTTATAAAAATATATACAGATATCTCCGAACAGGTGGAACAATCCCTAACATTAAAGTTTCTAGAATCTGGTAACATCCGCTATTTTTGGGCAAAAATCAAGCGTTCTCTCTCTAACACACGAGCCCAATGGATTGCGGTACTTTCTATATTTAGTGACTTTAGTCATATCATTCCATTTGATTTTTTAATTTTTTTTAGGATTTTGGATCATAGTGTCAAAACTAACCACCTGGCGGAGAAGGATTCAACTAAATTAAATATATTTTGATTCTCATTGCCCAAGGAATGCTCTTTTCAACCATACCAAATTTGTTAAAATCGGTCGAATGGTTAAGAAGTTAAAGTAGGTTATTGCAAAAACAATTGAACGCCCCACGCCATCTTTGTTTTTGAAATAACTGAGTTTTTGTTTTTACGAAAATGATAGATAAACTGGTTCTCTTTAAAAATGTGAAAAAAGAATGTTTAGTTTATTATGCGAAATTTAAAGAAAATGCAATTTTAAAATTTAAGTAAAGTCACTAGATATAGAAAGTACCGCAATCATCCGCCATTGTTGGGCAAATTTGCTGCCAACCTAAAAAAATTGACAAATAAAATCTGAATAGCTGTCATTTTTTATAACCTAACTTCATAGTACTGTCATGTTTTATAAAAATATATACAGATATCTCCAAACAGGTGGAACAATCCCTAACATGAAAGTTACTAGAATCTGGTAACTTCCGCCATTTTTGGGCAAAAATCATGCGTTCTCTCTCTAACACACGAGCCCAATGGATTGCGGTACTTTCTATATTTAGTGACTTTAAATTTAACATGGCAGTTACGCCCTCTGGTGGTCAATTTTAGAACTTGAAAATATTTTCCAGCGATTCTTCATGACCGATTTACCCAATAAGTCATATGACGAACGGTTCTCGAGATATGGCCGAGGAACAGTCTTATTGGGTCACCCGGTACATTTAAGCGACTTACGAAATGTATGTATTTGAGAGACTACTGTTCAAAGATGTCTAATATTATCTTTGTCATGTTTAAACTAAGTGCGCATCGTCAGAAATGTACTTTCGCGTGTACCTCCATACCAGATGGTATACAGGCTGATCCTGAAAAGACCCGTGCGATGTTCTATGAACGTGAGACAAGTGCTATCGTTTTTGCTTACCAGTAAAAATGCCTTATTCAAATGGGAAGAATCTGAACAGAACGCCTTCGCCCGGCTGAAACAACTGTTGACCACGCCTCCAATACAGGATGTCTCCCTACCATACATCACACAAAAATGTGATTCCACCTCTTTTTTTTCGCGTCTTATTCTCGCAATTATCAACTCCCCTGTTCTACTTAATAGCACTGAGAGTTGACCCCTGGGATCCAAACTCATTTGGCATTAGTATTACCTTATTAATAATAATCTGTATACCGAGTTTCATTACATATTCGTCTTCTGAGTTAAGAGAATTTGAACAACTGTATATTATAGAGCAGATGATAATGATATTGGTACAGAAAATCGAAACAAGATTAACAAGAATAAGAAAACCGATGGAAAAGTACAGTAAATACAGTCACAAAGATTACTTACATGTGTTATGTAGTCTTTGCTGCCGGCGGAAATTCTACCACCTCCCGTCGACATGTAATAACTTAAATCTATTGGTAACAAATTGACTAGTAACAACATTGGTAAAACTGTGATGGTGTGCACAGGTTGACCACCAAAGTTGGTGGTCGCGATCGCTCTCTCGGTTAGATACTTTTCCTTATGAATTTGTGCACAAAACCTACAAGAAGAGATTTTAACAGTGGCTTACACTTACAGTGTAGATACCGATACGGAGCTGGATCTCGAGGTTTTTGGCACGCTCGTAATTTATACAAGCACTCGCCTGACTCGCGTACTTCGGCCCAATATATGTGCGGTGTACAATACATATACCCCTGGTTCGCATCAAAAGGGCGAATCGTCAAATGTGAATTGACGTGCGTTAAAGGAACAGCAAAATATTCATTGCTGGGAAGCGTAGCGCAGCGTTCCGACATTGACAGTGAACGAGCTAGAAAATAAATTAAAAGCTGGTGCACCATTGGGTGGTAGTCCTTACGTTGTTCGAAACGTAGTGGATTTTCAAGTTTGATTTCAATATTTTCTTTTAATTTATTCCTTATAAGCAAACCAGAACGCACTGTAACCAATTTACGCGCCGAGCCCTCCAATGCTATATCAAAAACTATTCGAGTATATATACTCGGATGAGTCTACAAAAATCTTCACTTAAGACTGAAGAATGATAACCGGTAGTTTACCCTATGCTGGACTTCTGACGATGTATGTCGGAAGAATGTGCCGACTTTATCGACAGTAACAGGAGTTAATGACTTCCATCCGTCCACTTTAATACCCAGCTGGTGTATACGTAGTCTATGAGAATCACCATGTCTTCTTTTATCTAAAAATGTGTTAGCGTGTCATTTACAAATGTGGTAAAAATTCACCATGCGTTTTAAACGAGAATGGAGTGGTCTCGCCAGGCGATACTAAAATCCATCTATCGGTAACCTCCATGCACTCATCTGTTTGAAATGAATTGTTCATATCGGAAATTAAAGTTGTGAAATAAAGAGGCGAGCCCAGTTCGTTTTTGAGGGCGAACGGTACAAAAGGTGAACGACTACGGAATCCCAAATGACCGTTTGATTCCTTACTACTGTTTCGATCGCTATAATAATCCTGAAGCCAACGATCATGTACTTGGTTGTATAAGTCCATCAATGAAGAAGTGATGTTGATATTCAGAACCTCTTGAGATTCAACGTTGAGTTTCAAACGGTTTTTGACTAAGCTAGTTGTAAAGATGTGGTCCCAAACCACTGCGCACCTACAAAGTTCCAGAATTGTCTAAAAAAGACGTGCAAGACAGTAAACTTACTTCCACGGTTCCAAAAATGGTTCCCATCCTGATAACAATCGATTGTAGTAGTCTATACTTAGTTTACATTCTAACGCTCCCTCTACGGGACCTTCCTCCGAAACTTCAAATTGCCCAATGCGTTGCCGCATGTTTAGCTGAGCTAAAGAGACTTCTAATAAAGGTACGTCAGCGTCGCCACAGTCATCAATAACGCACAAAAATATGCAATCTGCTTTTACCTACGCGACAAAACCGTTTCCAGAACAGTGCAATCTCAATTAAGTACTTACTTCAATTGCAGAAATGGCCAGAGTGGCTTTGGAAACATTGTGATCCTGAGACGAAGGAAAGTTGTTGATAGGTACTGCGTTTTGGGTTAACCACAAGGCGGCGTCATCAAGTTTCGGCCACAAAGATAAGGCCCTAGCGCAATCCTCATTTGCAAAACCTAAAGCTTCTAGTTTCAACAGTTGATCTAGTAACAAACAAAAGTGCACACTACTAACAAAACAGACATAAAAGGGGTAATCGAAAGAGGTTAAGCAGCAGGTCAAAAAGTCATAATAGATTATGCTTGAATTAGGACTGTAAATCCTGACGAAGGATTTCATTGTTTACAACAAAATGTAGTAGTGCTGATCCCGGTTGTAACGGTTTATTTTCTTCTTTACAAAGTATTATTATTGTTCTCGTTTTTACTTGTTGAAAGATTCTCTTAACTTTTGAATAAACGACTCCATCTATTGTTGGAATGTTAACCACACCATTTTGCCGCGCAAATTGCTGGCGCTGTGATTTTTGGTTGTCAATTGTCGACCTTCATCTTCCTTCTTTTCTGAGGCGTTAGTTGAAAACGCATGGAATTTTACTTGCCATCATCCATATTTTATTTATATTAATAATTAGTGCACGGATGCACCTTTAACTACGTAGACTGTAGAGGATATAATTTGCGTTTTTTCTTCCGTATCGTAAGTACCGCCATTTGCATTTCATTTCCTTGAAGTGTACCTTTTCTTGGATGAAATTCACCGTTGTGTGCGAGTGCCAAGACCTTTGACACCTGCTGATAACGAGCGGCCATTTTCTAGAATTGGGTCACAGGGTCATGAACAAGGTTTGATATCGGGATTCGATTCTCAACAAAGAGACAACTTCCGTACCTCTTTAGCGTACTAATTAATAACTAAGTATTTTACCCCTTCTGGATTAAATACTATCACATTCAAGTAATTTGTTAACAAGACTTTTTAACCTGTTCTTGAATTATATGCATTAGCAACTGGAAAGTTAAATACCTACTTACGTTTCATTATGTTAGTTTCTTTGGGCGTGTCACTTTTACTTTTCAACATTTGCTTCGGCAGCGAGTTGAGAATTTGTAAAAACATTCTCATATCATGATAGGATAATCGAACCATTAGTGTTTGCAGCTGAACTTCCAAAGTTTGATTTTTATTGATTTCCATATTCAACGTGATGGGATCGATAATGGACAAAGCGGTCTCTTCCTCCATTCCTAGTATACAAGAATACATCTCGCAGTTGTTCAAATTGCAAGACAACGGCTTTTCCATTGCGAAAGGTTTGTAAGTCAAAACCGTGGTGCTCTACAAAAAAGTTTAAAAATGCACACCAATAAAAAAGCAGTAGCTACCTTGAAAATAACTGCGTTCGTATCCCACTGCGAGCTATCCTCAACGACGACAATTTCGCAATCGGTAATGTTTAATTTCAATTCGAAAGGGACTACATCATCTGTATGATCGGTCGGGAATGGTTTTTCTTGCCGGGCATTATCGTCTTCATTCGGATTTTCCAATATGTAGGAAAGCACTGCTTCCCACCAATCAAAAATGGCCATTAGGCGCATATTATTCAACAAAATGGTGAATTTAGTGTGATCTTGCCGTTTGCGACTGTGAATTTCAGCTTGCACTATTTCACTTTGCCGGTTGACAGTAAGAGGTTGCAAAATATTAGTATAAATATTCGAATACTGATTAAGCGAAGAACCTTGAGATCGCGTATCTATCACCACAACCTCCTGCGAAACCAAGTCGACATCTTGACTCAAGTTACTGTAGGATTCCACGATGAGGCGTGACTTGATGAAGTTGATGCGGGCTAAGGGTGATGTATCGTGCTTTATTTGAAGTCGTAAGATTACATTTAAGAGATCGAATTTTAGAGATGAGAGTATCCATACTTCTCGAATGTTTGTCTAAAAAATGTAGTCGCGTTAAAACATCTTAAGACATTCGACTTTTACCTCTGGAATTAAATTTGCCACTGGAGATGATACTGATGGCAGTATATGTTCAGTATTTTCACCTAAATTTTGACCCAATAAATTTTTTATGAGTCTATATTGACTTAAATCTAAAGCAACATCCAAAGTGGATAATTTCGCGTGCACACTCATGTCGGGAACTGAAATAAATTCAATGATCAATTGAACCTGTGAATTTCGATCATGATTATATGAGCTATCTAGTCCGAAGAGAGTAGTCCGCCTAGTAGGTGCTATTGTCACAAGATAAACTCAGTCACCCCGTCTCGTTCCTCTCCCTGCCTGATCCACCGCCTGTGGAGTCGTTGTGCTTAGAGAAGGGTCTATTTGCTACTCAGATGTGGTGGGAGGGTCCTTAGATTTTCCGACTGGATACCTCATATAATCAGGATCGCAGGTACAAACATAAAGGTAATAAATTATTTACTAAAGTAGGTGTTCACAGAACTGCGGTAAATCACCCTAGTATGCCTGTTAAATATGCACTCACATAAGTGGATATATATTTGCTTGGCAATCCTGATATTTTTATCTATTCTTTTTTTTATACAGGGTGGTGACTTGCGCAACGCATCATAGGGATTTCAATGTAAAATTCATAACATGCGATTATTGGCTCCCCAAATTATTTTTTGCGCGATCGGTCATTTCTGACTATTTACCATGGGTGTTTCCATGACAGTACGTAGAATTTACCAGTTGCTATGATTACGACGACGCCAAAATTACTTACCGATCTAAAAACAGAACAGCAAAAATACTTACCGACGCCTTTTTAAAAATCAACAGTCTTACATTACATTTAATCTTTAATTATTGTTAGGTACATTAAACGTACAACTTGTGCTGTTGTTTCCTATAGCAAGACGCTCATAAAGTCATAAAGGAAGTACAAAGCTAGTAAACTACATCAGACACATGCACCTTTTTATGAAATTATTAATTTCAATTTTGACAAATAAACTGGTTACCTAGAGATTGACACCATACCACTTCGATCATTTCGATTTATTCTGCTCGTTAATTTCTTAGTGCATATTTATATTGGTTGCATAATTTTAATTTCGATCGCGCAAAAAATGTTATAAGCACGTCGAACGTTAAGGGTTACCGTTCTCAGACAATAATTGGAGTCGTCGCTTCGCTCCTCCTCCAAACAATTGTCTTCGAACGGTAAAAATCCCTTACCGTTCTCCATACTTAATATACTATTAGAGCAAAAATGTATTAAGGTTTTTTGTAGAAACAAATTTTTTACGTCAATAAACCGTATTAGTTTTCAATTTTTTGCATAATAAAGACGGAAAATTGGAAAAATAAAACCCCCATCTTATCAATAATCTGTGATGCCATGGAATTTTCTAAAACAAAAAGATATCCAATTATCAATTAGCAGCCGTTCGAAATGGATTTTATGATCGACTTGGTTACTGTCTTGCATTTAATGGGGACTTATTCGAACATTTATTGTAAATTGTTATATTAGGAAACCGTTTTTAGTAATTTGGTCTTTCTTTATGTTGAATTCGCTGTTCTAAATATAATACTTTTTGATAGAATTTGATTTGTTTTATAGCAGACATTCCATGGCATGACGGATCTTGGCGTAGCTTTTCTATTATAAAATTCCATGGCATCACAGATTATTGAAAAGATGGGGGTTTTATTTTTCCAATTTTCCGTCTTTATTATGCAAAAAATTGAAAACTAATACGGTTTATTGACGTAAAAAATTTTTTCCTACAAAAAACCTTAAGACATTTTTGCTCTAAAATAATTTGGGGAGCCAATAATCGCATGTTATGAATTTTACATTGAAAACCCTATGATGCGTTACGCAAGTCACCACCCTGTATATTCTGGCTATTGTAGCCAGTGCGCGCATCGAATTGTTTTGCAAAGCGAAACCGCTTGCGAGTTCCGAGCACTCCTAAAAGTGCTCGAGCGGTTTATCGCGAGCGCTCGGAAGCGGAAAAGGCACTCGCTAGCGGAAAAAGAGCTTTCGAGCAGAAGAAATCGGAAAAACCGCGGTTCCATGAAAACTCTTTTAATCACTCATCACTGGTCAAGTTTAAATTGCAGACTGAATGCAAGTAGGTATACAACGCCGAACCTGGACCAATTCAAGATCGCGTGCCACCTGGTGATGACCTTGAAATGTGCTCACCTAAGGTCAACGACCCGTTTTTGTGGTGTCAAATGAGAGCTTCAACGTCATTTTTTGGCGATGTCAAATTACATTTTCAAGGTCGTCCAAAGTCAACGAGCAATTTTTGCGGTGCTAAATTACATTTTTTCAAGATAATCCAAGGTCGCCCAATGTCAATGATCCCATTTTTGGAGGTGTCAAATTACATTTCCAAGATCATGACCGCGTTTTTGCGGTGGTCATCCAAGGTCAATGACCTCATTTTTAGGATGTCAAAATGAATGCAATGAACTCTGTGGTATTCAAATGTAGAGGTACAGTTTCCCAATCTTAAACGGAAAACGGTATAATAATAATAAAATATGGTGCAAGAATCAAAATGTGACCATTAATAATTAAACTGTGTTTGAAATTTCGGTGTGTACTGCCACTTTTTGTCCGGCGTCAAGTTCAGAAGAAAAAGTAATGACACTTTAGTCCCTTAAATGAAAGACAAAACAACAATGAGAAATTAATCCCTTAATTTGAGATAGGACTCTCACGAACTCTGGTTGAATGGATTTGTTTAAATTTCAATATCACAGTACCCATTAGTTTAGTGAGTGTATAATAATTGAACCCCTAAACATGTTTCAGTATTTTACATCTAGAAAAGGAAGCGTGGATTAATGTCTTTAGTGTGATATATTTTACATACGCTTTGTCCATCTAAAGATTCTTTGAGGTGAGAAAGAGATCAAGACCCCGTTTGCCCCAGGAAATAGATTCGATAGGTATTTACTCTTCAAAAAATGACCTTGGAAAGTATTTTGCACTTTACTTTTTGTATAACCTTGATTTATCTATACATTTACCTTCAAACCGTAAAAATCGGGTCATTGACCTTGGACAACCTTGACCTTGAAAAATATAATTTGATACAGTAAACATGGGGACACGGATCAGTCATGATGACCTTGAAAGTAAAATTTCACACCGAAAAATGGGGTCGTTGACTTTGGATGATTTCCAAAATGTAATTTGACACCGCAAAGGGGACCATTGATCTTAGATGACCTTGAAAATCAAATTTAACGCAAAAAAAATGGAATCGTTTCCCTCGTATGACCTTAAAATGTAATTTGAGACGGCACAAAGATGGGTTATCCGTTATAGACTTTGGATGACCTTAGAAATGCAATTTGAGACGACATAAATATGTAGTAATTGACCTTGGTAACCTTGAAAATGTAATTTAACAACGCAAAAAATGGGACCATTGAATTTGGAAGACTAAAAATGTAATTTGACATCGCAAAAAGATGGGATGACTGACTTTGGGTGACCTTGTTAAGTATAGTCCGTTAGCTTATTATTTTGTTTAACTGAATTTATTTTTAAATGCATCCAGTGTGATTACTCAACCAACAATAAAGGTCAACTTAATCTCTTAATGCACAAGAATTCCAAGGACCTAAAGTGTGCCCAGAGTGACTATGCAACTAATAAAGACAGTTTAAACAACTTTAAAAAGTCATTATGCAAACATATTGACGAGGGCGTACATATTTTACTCCTAATAATATTAATGCTAGGACTAGGAAAAAATACCGGTAGGCACGAGATCCTTACCCCATTCTCTTTAAAATGAGCCATCGAAGTCTATACAGTTTAATGAAAAATAGTAGAGCATATACAAATACATACAAATTTTGAAATGGGCATTAGTTTTACTTTTATTCGAACTGTTTACATATGGAAGTTTTTATAAATGCTTTCGTAAATAGCATTGCGCATTCTCTACATTAGAAATTTCATTGAATACCTTCATAAATAAAACATACAGCATGCGTTAACAGTAATTTTGAAACCGATATTAGTTTTAGTTTCATTCAAGGTGCCTACATATGATATTTGGTTTAACTGCTTTCAATAATAAGAAACCAAATTTTGCAACTAGTGTTAGATTTGTCTTTATTCCAAATGCCTATGTATACAATTTCATTTAAATGCCTTCATAAACAAGAACGTTGGCATTGCGCATGCGCAAAACAACATTTTGAAAATGTTAATTTTACTTATATTCATAGTGTTTCCATATAATGTTTCATTTAAATATCTTCATAAATAAAAAAGTTAGCATCGCACATACGTTAAACCAAAATTGGTAAATATGTAAATGCACAAGAATTCCAGGTTTGTACAATGTGCACTGTGTGATTTTACAATCAATTATAAATCCAGTTTCAAAAAAGAGAACTGTAAAAATCATCTGTTGACACACAAGACTTCCAAGGATTTAAAATGCGCCCAGTGTAATTACGCAACCAAAATATTTCTGGCTTTAAAATGCAGGTGTTAACCCACAATACACTTACCTAGCTGTGGTTTGTGTGATTACGAAATCATATCTAATTTTAAAGCACCGAGAGGGCGGGCTGCGTATTGGCATTCTGTACTATTATTCAGAGCAGCTCTGGTCTGATTCGCAGTATACTATGGCTTCACATTATGCGCAATTTGATAATAAATTATATACTGCGATTCAGAGCGCCGATATGGTTTAGTGCTCGGTGTCGTGTTTGTTTTATTACTAAAATCAGCTAAGCACTTGTCGCACCAAACACTGTTAATATCTTCACCCGCTTTTTTAAATTTCGCTTTAAATCCATGTTCTACTAGTTCCAAATATATACGATCATTGAAAACTTATTCTCGTGGCACATTTCAACCAATGCCTCTTTATAGATCATTTTAGTGCAGTTTGAGAACCTTGATTACACACAAACAACAAAAAATATGCTTTTTTCTTGCAAAGGGAACAATAAAAACACACTTTTTGTAAGTGTATGATGTGTTTTATAGAAACCCATTATATACAGTGTTTCAGAACTCTAAACCATATCGGTGCTCTGAATCGCAGTATATAATGTATTATCAAATTGCGCATAAGGTGAAGCCATAGTATACTGCGAATCAGACCAGAGCTGCTCTGAATAATAGTACAGAATGCCAATACGCGGGCGGGCTACGTAGTAAATAATACATACATTTCATACTTATTTAAGATTAGAATATAAAAACTAGGAAAACCAAGATATTTTGAAAAATATCAGAGATAGGTATAGGACATTATTATCAAAAGTTGAAGGTTTTGGAAGAATTAAAAGCTGACAGAAAAATATACAGGGTACATACATACATTTAAAAAAAGTGAGATTGTTTAATATGAAGTTTTGCAACTTTGGACCTACCAAAAAAAACACCCTGTAAGCTATTTTTTTTAATGTTTCATAGTAGATGTATTTATTTGACTTTTACTTAACCCAGGATAAGATCTAAAACCTGGAATCAAAATTAAGTAATAATTTTCACAATATACTGACGCTTGCAAATGCCCAATTTTTCTTACAAATTGAATTATCTTTAAAACTACTAGTTTTTTGGATATTAACCATATAATAAAAAAGACGTACAATTACACGTAGAATTCAAAAATGCATTCAAGTACAGGGGGTTCTATTTAAAAAAATGTACCATTTTGGCGCCCTACTGTGTGGGCGCACCCTGTATAATTCCAACTATTTTTAACATGTGGAAAATATTTAACCATATCATAATACACTCTATCGAAAAATCTTATCTTCAAGGCATTAAGTTACTCTGAGCAATCGTTGACTCACCCTGTACAACTCAACCGAACATTTCCGTACTTGTTGCGAACATGCCGCACCATTGTTCTCATTTACTATCAACTTACTAGTAAACAATATTTTTATAAACAATTTGATTTTTTTATTACATTACCTGTTAAAATTAACCAATTTTAAAGGTTTATTAGAATTTTTAACAGTTCAGTGGTACACGACAGATCTACAATATCATGAGTGGTAGTGGTACGCGAAAAAAAACTTCGAGAACCGCTGCTCTAGAGGGTAAACAATGAGCGAGTGGAATTCATACAGGGGTGATCTTTGTCTAAACCAAACTAAGTCTCTCTCATAATTTGCTACTACACTTACCAGTATGATACAAATCATTACTTAGATTACGTTCAATCTGTACATTGAGATGGCACTTTTCAGTTAAGAGAGATGAGCCCATTTTAAAAACCTTGTACATTCCGAAGTGTAAACTTTCCATCTGTGCAACATCATGATCTTGCAACACATTATAATCCGCTACACGGATTCCAGAATATAAGTCAACATTTTGCAATTGGACTGACATTACATCCAGTAAACACTTCTTGTCTGAAAAAAAAAAGAAAAATTATCTATCAAGAAAATCTGCTTCATACCTGAAGCGACAGCATTTCCATAACCGAGAGTGCCCAACTCTCCAGAATACTTAAATGTATTCGTGAGACTCAAACGGCCCAAATCTGCAATCAACAAATTGGAACTCCTCGACGAAACCGGTAAAAGTATGACTGGTGCGCCAGCTTGCAGAATGATGGAAAGTCTCTTTTTATTCTGATTTACCTAAAAGTGTAATGTACAGTACAAAGGAGCCAATACATCACACTACCTTAGGACTTGTAGCCGCCGCTCGAATGCCTTGCATCACCGACTGCAGTTGTGTAAAATGATAAAAAAACGCCTGCACTTCAACCATGAATCTCTTCGTATGCACGTAAAATACCGAAGACATTTCCAATTTTAACTGCGCATCAAAATCCGGAATGTCATTTTCGGCATATCTAAATTAAGACTTTGAAAAACGAATTAGACCCACCGTACTCACCTAACGTAGTTGAAATGTAGCGCTTGCTTTCCCGATGTTAAAAAGCGTTCTTTGTACAACTGCCCATGCAACGTTAAATCTAATAAGGACATCGAACCTAAACGCCCTTCAACTTCTTTTCTCACGTTGTTCGATTTAATAGAAACATCTACATTTGATACGTTAGCTTTCGCTATATCATGGTCGGATGTTACTAGCGCCATTGTAAGAGATCGAACTGTAATATTGGTCTCCGTGCTTCCTCCGACAGTTCCTAGGAAGAAATTATAATTGAGAGATTGAGAGGATGGTTTTACCTTTGGAGATTTCAGGAGAATCTTCAAAAGAACCCGGTGACGTGTGCAACTTCTCTGACGATATAGCATTAAAAAAATCTATTACCACAACCCAGGATTCCACGCTGATAACCAAATCCAAGCAGTTAAAGTCAATTGATGTAGAGCGCTCAATCTGAAAATTGCTCAATTTTTTTTAGTGCCAATAAGTAATTTTACTTACAGAGTTATAGTAGGAATGAAAATTGGGTGCGCACGGATCGACCAATAGCGACGAAATTAAAACCAAATTTTTCTGAGGGCGCTGTTTAACGTCGGGAGATGGCGGAGGCGTTGACGATATGTATTTGTCGTTAGCCACACCGAGAACTTTGACGGTTTCTAGATGATCCGGCAGCGAGCCGTGCGAGTAACTGTTCTGTGGAAATGGTTTATAAATATCGGGACACGATCTCGAAACGCAGTTTGAATTTGCTGGCGCTTCGCCACCAGAAGATGACACAACCATCGCCCTCTGTCGCGAACCTTCTGGTTGTAACAAATCTTCCATAATAACAGATCGTAAAGACACCTAGAAGGACAAAGTAAGATGTTGGCTACCACAATAAAGCCCACCGCCTGTATACTAAATAGTTGCCTCACTCGGTTTAATTTGTACATGCGCTGCGAGGGGGTGCTTACGTTTGTGACGTAGTTCAGTATAAAGAAATTTAAACGTGTAATTACAATGAGTTAAGTAATGTAATATGACTTCCATTTGTTTCACATTTGTACAGGGTGGCCAACTAAGAATGCGAGGTACTATATCTGAGTGAGAACCTATCCATCGTAGAGGCTTGCGGTAAAAAAAGTTATTACTAAAACGGCCACGAGAAAACCCTAGAAAATATGTTTAAGTTTCTGAAATGGCCGCTAGGGTGCGCAACTGCAAACTGGAATCTAAAGTCACTAATGTGACTTCACTGGAATCTAAAAAAGTGATGTTTCTGTGAATTCCGCTATATTAACCTAACAAAAAAATGTCCGGTCTTTGAAGTCGACGATAATCTGAACCTTTTTTGTTTGACAATTTTTCCTGTATCTCTAAAAATGAAGTAGTGGGGGGTATTCAAAGGTTTCCGTAAAGAACACCCTCTATCTTCGAAACGGCTGAGCCGATTTAAACAAACTCGGGTTAGTTCAAAAGAGGTATTCTTCAGCTACAAATATTATAATATTTGAAGTTTTGTTAGTTTCACATATCACCGCTTGAGGGCTTTTTTCGACATTCCGACAGAAATGGTTAATTTTCTCAAAACAATTAAATGCATTGATTCGATTTTTTTTTCATGAAAAAGTAGCTAAATGATGCCTAAACAAGCTCGCGAAAACAGCATCTCGATATTTTTTAATTTTCCAAAATACAAAAAAAAACTACCTGAAAACATTATGATCGATTTTTTCTAATATCAGCCCTTTTGAGACATTTGCAGGGGCAGAAGAAATTCTAGCAACCACTGTAGAAACCTGTTTTACTTGTAGGTCATTTTGTAAACAATCCATGAAAAACATTAATAGGTAAGTATTTAACATATATTTCTTCCTGAAAAAATATTAATCAATTAAAAAAATGCATTACATAAATTGTATGTGAGAGGTAGGCCGTGGGGCTTTAAACAGTCGCACTTTATGAATGGCACTTCAAAAATGAGACAACCGTTTAGTATACAAACTGCGGCTGAAACCTACCTGAATGTTAGTTTCGTACTGATGACACTTTTCATAGTTGAAAATAAAATCTTGAAACGACAAATCCACAAAACCTTGTTCTCCCAAGGGCGAATCGCCGCGAAGTTGAATAGTAAAAATGGGTAATTCAAATAGCACTGCAAAAATCTATTAGTGCTATATCAGGTCGATCATTAATTTACCTTTAAGAGCGATTATTTTATTACTAACGATTTTAGATCGCGATGCAGCAACTACAGGAAACAGTTTAGCACGAACATGAGGATCCATGCTTAAGGTGGTTACACCGGTTCCTTCCTCGCTAATATCGTCGAGAGTGGAAATTGGGTTGAGATTGACCTTATTGTCCTTGATATTTGAGGCCTTGGCAGAATTCATTAGCCATTGAAATGTGTCCAATAGCTGTTCGTACTGGGAACGCGTCAGAGACACTTTTAAGGGTGATATAACACTCCCAGTTATCTGAAATATAGCAAGGTTTCACCTTTCTAGCTTAATTTAAAATGAAAGATATTATCCCTAGATCAGGGGTCGGCAATCTATTGCAACGGAAGAGCCAAAAGTTACGATTTGCAAAATTTCCCAGTTTTTAAAGAGAAACTAAACATTTTCGAATCAATACTATAGTATTTGGTCATATACAGTGTCCTGCAACAGTGCGTCCGTCTTTCCTAGATTATACCTGGTAAAAAAGATTTAAAAAAATCTTGTATGCAAATGTAAACTATAGATGGTTGGCGGATCTACAGAAATTATTTTTGAATGTACAGGGTGTCCCATTTTTACGGTGTCAATAAATAAGTGATTTTATTATTATTACTATTATTTTTCAAATTTTCAACTACCACTATTTTATTTCGCTATTCGATTGTGTTTTGTGTCCTCTTCAATTTTTATACCAGGTGTCCTGTGCTTAAAGTTCATAATTTTTAGGTTATTCAAGTTTTTTTCTTATTAATTAATTACATGTTTATACATCGAAGTAGGCTGTGATCTCGGCTGTGATAATAAAAAAAGACAAACAAGTGTCACAAATTAGGTAATTATGTGCTGCAAGTGTACTTTCAATATCGTAATAAAATAAGATTCATTAACATGAATTTCGAAAATGCAGAGAGCCGCAACTTTACATCAAAAGAGTTCCACCCGACACCTGCCCTAGATCCCTAGAAACATCGAGATCCGATTTGATCTACATTACTTTGGTCATTACGAATAATTTGTTCGTGATAGTTTATTTACATTTCGAATTAATTAATTACATTTGTTGTATATGAAGTTAACGTCACGTTTATGCTTTTATATTTCACCGATTTGTACGTACCATTCGTCAATGAAAATTTTGCTCTTGTTTAGTTAACATAAATTGAATTATTGGTTCTTATTGATTGTTAATTACGGTTTGTAGTACACAAGTACCCAAGTGTCAGACGTTAGTCACTGCTATCGTAATATTATGTGCCGCGCGATTCACTATCCCACTTGTTTTTTTTGTTTATGTTTTTATCTGTTACAGATACGGCAGCAAAGCGCCCTTTCTGAGTTCCGAACGGCTGTTACCATAGTCAAATGTAATATTTTTATTTTCGCCGACTCCTTGATATATCGTTTTATTCCATATATTATATTAGGGTATTTGCTTAAAGTGAACGTAACAAACCTGTACATTTTAATTAACTCTAAGGCAGTAGTAAACGAACAGACACAAGTTTGAACTAAACTCAAAAAAATACATAAAGGAATGTTTTAACCATTGAGTGAACGATGTTAATTCACGAGTACAGCAGAAACCATCTAAATCAGTATAACACTTCCGAAAATTCGGAATTTAGAATGGTAAAAATAGCCAGGTTGCACTTTTCTGTCGTTTCCATGGAAACAGTATTGTTATCTGTTCTGAACTTCATTTTATTCCGTGCACCGCGTCCCATTTTTAATGCGAATGACAATGCACAATAGTTTCTGTCGCGGTTAAAGAGATCACTTTAACCACTCTTACTGTTAAAGAGAGACTTAGACACACGCAATTTTAATTATCTATGTTATTCATTAGCACTATATACCTCCACATTTTCTCCCACAGTTGGCTCAAAACCATCAACATTTTGATTTGAATAACCATCGTCGATTAAATTTGAGAAGCTTTGGTGTCGAGTTTGAGAATGACAGAATATCTCACGTTCTATTCGTAAATGCACTATCGTATCATGTAATATAGGTTTAGCTAGTGTATCGCAACTGTACAATACATCTGACTTATTCATCCTAGAATAGAAATTTGAATTAAAAAATTAATTTACGTTGTTTAGATTACATAGGGCCTGGAACACGTCTGCTACTGGTATCCAACGAGTATAAATTCATGTCGCGAATTTCCACGCTGTAGTGTTCCATTTTCGATTCAACATGATCCCAACTTTCTTTTGTCTGTTTATTATTGCAATTCGTAATGGACGTCTTTCCAAGATGGGCTACAAACACTTGAGCGCTGCTATGCGTTCGTGGAACGATAACAACTGGACTGTCCAGCACCACATCTAACCTAATTAAAAAATGTAAAATTGTCCGAAGAAAAGGCTAATACCTCATATCGATCATGAAATTATCCTCATCTGCTGGGCTGTAGGGTGTTTGCGGAATGGTGTCACGAACAGATGAGGAACCCGAGTATCCATCACCGTACTCCATAAATCCGCCACTATTGTACCTGCTTCTTTTACGAGGTGTCATTATATCAGACAGTGACATCGCGCTACCGTATAGCGACGCAGAGAGCCGCGAGTTCAAATATAAAGACTGAGCTAACGCTTCAGCTCTACAACAGGAATAAATTACTTAAAACTGAGCGCGGCACGTAAGGTCTTACTTTGCATGGACTAATCCCAAAGCCATATCGGTTGCTGCAGAACGTATGGAGCGTGCTAAATTGGCTAGGTATTGTTTAAATTCGGTTACGCAAGACTGCAGCTCCATCAAAAAGTGAGGTGAATGTGTGTACCACACAGATGCCATTCTTATAGTTACAAGTGCCAAATCTAGAACAATGGAGCCTCATTAAAACAGATCTGTACCTAGTAATAGTACAAGAATGAATAATCTACATACTCAGTCTTCATAAGTGTCCAATGCCAAGCATACCAACAATTAAAAGCAGATGAAGGGGCCACCGATACATTGACAATGATCAAAACTTTAGCTCTACAAGTGCAATCATCACTTACAAAACAGTACCTACAGCAAGACATTTTGGTGATTGTTTAAACAAAGAAAATATAGTGTTCGCAAGAATTAAGCGAGTAAGTACTCAACTTTGACATAAGATCAGTTCAAAGTGAACCATCAATACACTTAAACTACAATGGAAAGTCTTTACCTTATTTCTACAGCGCTAAAACTACTCTTTGTGTCGTTCAATCTTGGAATCATGGATCGCCCCCAACAAACAACAAACAAGTACAAATTGTGCACAACCCTTGTGCAGGTAAAGCGCATTTTTTTTAACACCCCTACGAAAGTTCTTCCATAAATAAGAAAGTTGGCACTGCACATCCTAAACAAAACCAAATTTGGAAAATGGCGCTATATTTGCTTTTATTCCAAGTAGCTATGTATCAAATTTCATTTAAATCCCTCCATAAATAAGAAAGTTGGCACTGTGCGTGCGCAAAACCAAATTTTGAAACTGGTGTTAAATTTTCTTTTATTCCAAGTGGCTATGTATCAAATTTTATTTAAATGCCCAATTTCTTCCACATTTTTTTATTTCTTAAAAAATGCGCTAAAAAGAGAACGGTGGATTCGGATTTCGCAGTTCCACACAAAACTTGGTATTATCTAATCCAATAGTGATAGTCCCTTTTTACTGACAAAAAAATCTTTGGGTTCATATTTTTGCTACGGGCGGCGGGTGAACGACACTTCACTAACACGCGTAATACTTCCGGTACTGTTCGTGCTACGCGTAATTAATTTTTCTTTCTTATCGCGGTTACGACTTGGTGTCGTTTTTTAAATAAACTATTTCACCCGCATAAAAATTCCGAGCGAACTACTCTACTACTTCACAGACGTCCAGGGAATTCATTTGCCCTTACGAACTTACTGCCTAACGGCTGCCTACAGTATACTTCTTAAAAAATGTTGGATGCGTTTCTACTCTTTTTTATTTCCCTAACACGCCCCAAAATGGCGCAAATAGGCTACAACGATTACATTTAATCGTCTGCGCTTACGTAAACCAAAAACACACGTGTGAAGGCCATTAATTAGAAATGTAAGGAAGCACCCGTTTCCGCCTTGAAGTTTGTGTTTGTGGAGTCGACCTTCTTTGCTCAACACTCAGTATATACGGCGCTTCTTACCGCCGATAACGCACGTAAGCTTCCTAGTGAATTTATCCGGTTTGGAACCGTTCCTGTAGAAATATCTCAATTCCAAGATTGAAATCGGCAAAGTTGTACAGTTTAAAGAAAATATCAACGTGATAACCGATTGCGCCGTTTCACCTCACATTCCACGGAAAAAAAGGCATTGCTGGACTGCCGAATATTGAGATTTCATGACGACTATTTAGATAAGTATAATTAACCGTAATTACTTGAATGGGTTACAGATAACAATCACCGATTAAGTCGAGATTACATTCTTGTGTGCTCTTAAAAGACTTGGAAGCTTTTCCAATGTCAGGGAAAGGAGCAATTAATTGAAAACAGTTTTAAATTGTTTGAACGTATAGATGAAGTGTACGAGACGGGAATTCCAGTCCACTCAAGCCGAGGTTTAGATAAATAGAAAACGCACTATGAAATAGGACTTTTTTACTTTTTGCATCTTCGCAGTTACTTTTTGTAAGTTCCTAAATTTTGAGCTTTGCCGTAGATTTACTTTTGCAAACAGTACCGTATTTAAATCATCAACTTTTGCTTTTGGTGTTTTAACCATATCTTTTTGACTTTTGTATTAAGTTACCACACCGTATTATTTAAAATTGGCTTGTAGCAAATTTTTTGCTACCACTCCGTTAATTTCAAGGTAAGCTTTTTCTTGCTTTCTGTTTCACTAATCATGGAGGGGGGTATTGTGCGTGTGTTGGTGCTTTCATTCCCGCTAGAGAGTTTACCGTAATTTTGTTTTAGTTTTTAGTGGAAAAGACATTAAAATTGTGTTATCGCCCGTCAGACTGGCGCTGATAAATTTCTCACGACTCATTCGGTATCGTTTAACTTACAGAATAAAGAGCGACTCTGGATTTGGAATTTATCAACTTAAAAGAAATTTAAAATAACAAAATTTTGGAATACCAGCTCTTTAATGGATCCACCCTACCGAACACTGAGCTACTCTAATGAGGTTCTATTCTAAACCCTTTATTTGAAAAAATGGTTCTAACTACCAAAAAACGCTAGACAGCTCCCGTTACAGTTTTGGTTGTCATACATACATATATATAAAGTCCTTAAAGAACGCTCAGGCAGATTGGGAATTGACTGCTCTAGAATTTAGGTTAGCAAATTTTAGCTTTGTGTATGTGTACAGGGGTTTGCAAGATGTTCGGCCACAAAGTGTCCCATTTTCGACTCTTTTATAGGGTATCTCCGTAAATGTTACTGCTATCAAAAAAAATAAGGATTTTAGATCAAACCTAAAATGGTAAAATCAACATTTGAACATTTTTACTCGCTTGAGACAAACGGGGGAAATGAAAAAATTGTCAATTTCAGAATAACCCCATATTTTCATAGTTAAAAGTGATACAGAAAAAGTTTCTTTATAATGATTTTTGATTAATCTGCCGTTTTTGAAATAAGTATACGTGGTCAGGTAAAAAAGGTATCGGACCTAACCTCATTTTTTAAATCGAACATCCTGTATATTTTATTCTAAAAAAAGATATATTAAATTCTATTTTCAAAAACATAACATTAAAAAAATTCAAAAATCTTTTTGAAATTTTTTTAATCATTTACCTTTTTCAATTCTTTTTTGAAACTTTTTTAAATTTTGTGAACCACTTTTTTTAACCTTTTGTTTTAGTATCATCCCTAATGTGTTATATTTTTGAAACAATAATTATGAAATAACTTTTGTATCTTTCTGGTACTTACCTGTTTTAACTAAGAAAATATAGTCATTGTCAATTTTTTATTTTTCCCGTAGCTCTTAAACGAGCGAATATTTGCGAGTTTGCATTTTAAGTTTGACCCATAAAGAGCACATGATACCTATATTACCTTTTTGACAGCACTAACAATTACGGGGATCCCTATAAAAGTATTGAAAATGGGTCACCCTGTACATCTAGAAACTAATTTGGATGCGACATTTTGCGGTATAAACGTAAGGAATTTTTTACAACTTGGAAGGACTAATGCACAAAATTGTAACCACTTAAAGTAGCGATGTAATCGAAAGTTAATAATAAAATACACTACCATTATCCTTGTCGGAACATTGTAACTTTCTATCAACTTTGAAGCTAAAAGCTCGCCTCTCTTCATTGTGTAGCGTTGGTGGTGTTATATACAATGTGTGCGGAGCTTCTACAAGAGGGTCATGTCCAACACTTATAATTCGCTGATGCAGATGTCCTTCGGGTGTAAGATCTAACACTTGTAAGCCACCCAATGAACCTTCGACTACCACACTGTCATCTAGGGAACAGATTGTAAGGACCTACTGAAATCATCTGAAGAAGCTCACCAACAGTCGCGCGAATTTTGGCTCCGCTCATTGTCGCCGTTGCGATCTTCTTTCCATATACCGCACCGTCCTTTACCACACCTCGCAATAGCAAAACGTTCAGGCGATGAAAATCGAACGTGAGTTCAGTGCGGCAAATTTTCGGTATGGGAATGGCGTCCTCGGCACCGTCGATCGCGCGAGGTTCCGCGATTGGAGTCGAAATTAAGGCCGCCGGCTTTTGCGGTTTCAATTCGGGGAAAACACGACGCGTAAAACCGATTAGTTCCACTAGTGTTTCTTGATTGGCTGAAATCTCATCTTCACTTTAGAACTCATCTTCATCATTCTCACCGATAATATCCAAGTTGTTGAACTGAATGTTGGCAATATGCATCGGTTCCAAACCGTTCACTAAAATTATTTCAATCGTGATTAGAGCCTCTGCGTCTAAGACTGGCTGCTGCCTCGGTTGAATTGTAGATGTAGGTGAGGAGGAGAGAACGGTTAGGGCTTGCGTAAGAGCGATCGGTGATGTTGCTAATGTGGGAGTTACATTTAGGTCGGGACTGCCAGGAGACGTCGGTGATGTCGGTTCGCTATCTCGTAGACTTCCCGACATGGAGTCCATTCTGCAAATGTTACTACTTTTGAACTAAAATTTTGGAATCAAATCGTTCTACATGTAAAGGCTGTGTGTAAATTATGATAATGTGAATATTATCATTGTATATACATCTTACAGTAATGCCACGGTATAGAAAAAAGTGCGACGCCATAAAATAGCTACATAAATAGTGATAAAAAGCACTGCAAAGATTAATTTAGCATAAAAGCAAACCATATGCACTATCAATATTCACCCACAGACGTCTCCGTGAGCAGACTATTTAATCTTTTTCTTTTGCTATGTACACATTGGGCCCATATGAATAAAAAGAAGCATATGCTTATACTTGCAAAATTCAAAGTAATTACTCGTAAGTGCCCCCTCACACTGGGCGACTTAGCAGCGCTGGTTAGCCATGGGATGGGACGCAGTGCAGAGCTGCTGAGCAGCCCAGTGTGAAGGGGCACTTACGAGTATTTACTTTGAATTTTGCAAGTATAAGCATATGCTTCTTTTTATTCATATGGGCCATTGTGTAAGTGTTTAACGTACACGAAGCAAACGGGATCCGGTGACGTAGTATGCTACAAGGAATTTGCATTATAAGCATAACGATGCTCTTTATCTTTATTATTTTAGTAATTTATTTCATTGTCACCAATTCACGTACCTAACGTTTGATTCCGGGTTGTACTTTGAAAGTTTTTAGTGACAACTGGCAAGGAATGTAACTTAATGGTCAAAATGCTGGTCAGTTTTGATTATGTACCACTACCACTTTTTATAAATAATTAAAACGTACCCCCCACATATACACGGTGTCCATTTTTCGAGTGCTACTATAGGGATCTCACTTATCTTAAGAGATAGAAGGTTGGTTAAATGGGGGCAAAGTTGCAAATTTCCGTGCTGAACAAGGGTCTGAAAAGAAATTTGAAATATCTTCAATAATTTTGAAGATATCGCAAAAAAACGAAAATTTCTGATTTCACAACAAAAGAACGTTTTGTTTTTCTTTTTCCAAAGCACTCTTCTCAAAAAATTAAACATTGTATTATTAGGAAAAATGTGATACTGAACCACCATGTGTGATATATCGTTGTAAAGAGAAAAAAAAAGACGTAATCTCAAAATGTGAAAATTCAAAATGGCGCCCATAAGAAATACTAAAGTTGCCAACGTGTTTCTCCGTCATCTTGAAAGTTATTAAAAACAGGATGCCATATTTGAAATCTTCATTAACAAGTGTCCGAATAAGAAAAAATCTGCGCAAATGTCAACTTTCTTATTTATTTTTTTTATTGCCTTTATTTTATAGATATTTTTTTGAAATAGTAACCGCAGATGCTTCTAATAAAAATAAGCATTTCGCATATCGGAAAAATCAGATGTAGTATATCCATAAGTAAGGGTGTTGACATTGCGCAGCCTGCGCATGCGTATAGACATTTAACCAGAGATGCTTCTAGTAAATTCAAGCATATCTCATTTTGTTAAAAGTAGATGGCGCAATTCAGTTTCTCCACCAAAAAAAAATTCGAAAAACTGTCCAATTTTGAGGAAAAAAGGGTATTTAACAGCGAAATAGTTAAAGTTCCGGGCGAGGTTAAGGGTATAACATGTTACATAAAAAAATAAGTACATTGCAATTACTTTCCAAATATGTTATAAAATATGAGGTGTTCAATTTAAAAATGTTTCAAAACCAACTCGTGGGTATTGCCGCGTAATACAACTGTAAATAATAAGTAACGGGCAAATATAGACCATAGCAGCTATCAATTTGGAACAGACAGACAGAAGACGGAAAATCGAGCACATAAGCGTCACCTCAACTTCGTTGTATAACGCTAAAAAACCGCACGTTTGATACGTCACTGGAATACAGCACGCCTCTGGTGATCAAAAATATTTTAGAAACATGGCGACGGTAAATGTATACAATTTGGCTCTAAGACTTTTTTCTGTATCTTTTATGGTAAAGGAATTATGATCCGAGGGGGTCTTAGATGCTACACCCTCTATATGTACAACCTACAATGCCCATACAAAATAATATGATAAATGTTGGATGTATAGCAAAATCTGCAAAAGTGAATCATCTTACAATTAAATTAACCTATAGAATCTACCCTAACTCTTTGAATGTTATCAATGAATTCGAGACATATCCTGTCTCCGCGATAACTAAAAAAATGGCATAAAAAAAACTAAACTTAATTTATTAACTTAACTTCTTAATTAAACTGAAGATGGCACATGGACCATGATGAACCAGATCATTTGAAAGTGGATCTTACCCCACACTCTGATCCACCTATAGTAAATGGGTTCGTTCACTTCTCCCCTCATTATTGTATTGTATTTACGGTTTGTGCGTTGTTGGATTTAGAAATATTTGGGAAATTCAAATGGATTCTAAGTGAACGCTTAGCCTCCCAAAAGTAAACCATTTATAGTATAGCACTTCGATTGTGCTTAATTGTAGTTTTATAATTACAATCTGTGTCTTTTTGGTTTCGGAGATATTTGGAAAAATTGAGTTTTCCAATTGTCTACTCTACAAAACCAACAAGTTAAAAACTAATCGTAATCAATTTACAAAAAGCGCATTTCCACTTGTATTTATTTCCCATTTGTAAGATGCAACTTCTGTAAAAATCGTAAAAATCCTTTCCACAAATATGAAAGATGCGTTGCACATGTGCAATCCATTTTTGACGTGCTACTTCAATTTCTGTTTATAAGAAGAATTTCATTTCAATGCTTTTCTAAATAAGAAAGTTGGAACTGCGCATGCGCAAATCTACATTTTGAAACTAACGTTAGATTTTCCTTTGTTCCAAGCGCCTATGTATCAAATTTCATTTAAATGCTTCCATAAATAAAAAAGTTGTCACTGCGCATGCGCAAAACCAAACTTTGAAACTGGCGTTAGATTTTCATTTATTCCAAGTGCCTATGTATCAAATTCTTAGACCATATAGTACATGGACTGCTATTCGCCCTATGCTTTCAATACAAAATGGATGGTCACGGATAGAGGGCACTGTAGTCGTGGGTATGTGAATCTCAGGGTAAACTAAAGTCGTGTAAACACCACTAGGATCGTTTAATGAGCAGATTTATAGTAACCGCGTAGTAGGGGAAGCTTTAAATACTCTTCATTATTTGCTATACGTCCACAAATAAGAATAAGTTTGCTTTTTTTGGGATATCTAGGCGATTAATTAATTGACGTTTGTTAATTTATAGGTTGACAGTCTCAAATCGTGCCTCATCGGACAACTTCGGGCAGACTCGTTTACCCTGAAACTCATATAGCCAGGCGATGTCCTTGACCATATTTTAGTTACAATTAGCAGTCCATGTACTATATGGTCTAAGATCAAATTTCGTTTAAATGCTTCAATAAATAAAAAAGTTGGCCCTGTTCATAAATGTTTGTACCTGAGTTATCACCCAATTAACCATCATTCACCTCATTTCATTCACCATTAAACTTATTATTTTTCTAACGTCACATCAGTTCATAACTAACGGAGATGTCAAAGTTATCGTTCACACGGACAGATAGAGCGACAGACAGACAAAAGAACAGACGGACAGACAACAGACAGCAATACAAAATTATAAACGAACTCTAGGATCGTTAATAAACGGCAAAAGTGTAAAATTATGGAACATGTAAAAAACGGTTTTTTGGTTTGTTTACAATAACTTTTTTAGCAATAAACGCAGAAAAAATTCGTTCCTTGGTGCAAGCCTCGACATCATAACGTACCAAATAGCGAAAAAAGTAGAACAATAGCTCTTAAGATAAAGAACTAGTAGCGTCTCAATGAACGAGCGGACGGACGGACGGACAGCCGAACGGACGGACAAAGGTGGCCACAAAAGCGCATTTTTTTTATTTTTGTGGAAATGCCCTAAAAAGACAAAGCACAATCGAAGCACTATGCAATACCGTCGTTTCATTATGAAAAAGCTGGGGAGGCGGGGCTAAGCGTCCATGACTGAGCCCCCGTCAAAATATTTCTGAAATCAAAAGGCACAAATCTTGAGCATAAATGCAATGTTGGGGCACAGTAGATAAAAAGTTCATTTTTGGGCTAATGGGGGCGGCTCGGTAGGGGAGGGGGGACGATCCACGTTCTGAATCGGAAAGCTATACATTTTTAAATCCGGAAATTTTCGTGCATTATTGCTACACGTAATGTACTAGCACTTATGACCCGACATAATAAATAATGACTGCCTACTCCAAAATAATTAATGTTATTGTTCTTAAAGTTTTATAAAATACATACACAATGGTTTTACTTAAACAAAACCACTATTCCAATACGTAACGGAACACCAAATCACAGACCATCGCACTAAATGTACGTTTAGCAGCCATTGTTTTCCGATGTTCTTTTCACACATTTTTCAGGAGCTGTAAAACCTAAACAAAAGATAACCCTTAAAACAGCAAGAAGATCAAAGAGTTCAAACCGTACCTCTACTTAACCTTGGTACCTACTGGCATTTTTTTGTATTCATGGTTTTATTAGATGGGAATACAACAGAAGATAAGTTACGTTCTGTTTATCTTAAAACACATAAAGAGACAATGACCTTATTCTCGCCTCCCTTAACACTAACAAAAAAAGAAAACAAACGTATCTGTTTTTAAAACCCCATCCCATGATTTTAGAAGAATTTATACGAATCAGGCATATTTCATCTTATTTCATTCTTATTATTTACGGTGAAGGAAGGTGAAGGACGGCAAGTTTCATTTGTTGACTTTTTTAAATAATGTGTGTCATTCCCTGTCGCCGTATCGCTTACGAGGTTAGATAAAGGTTTCTGTAATTTTACTGTCGTTATACAGTTACCTAACCGAGCGATCGCAGCGCGCATTCTGTAGTTTTCTGGTAGGCCCCCAGAACTAATCCCCTTGCCCCCAAATAAGCGTCGCATGACAACATTGCGTGGCCGTACTGTAAGATGTATATACAATATTATTTTATCTGATATATGGTAGCAGATAGGCATCATGATCAAACACTTACCCAACATGTTTGTGACTAGCAATAAGTAATTCAAAATCTGGCCCAAACGTCTGCAAAGCATCAACTAATAGTAAACTGTGCACTGATAGCGTGATGCTGTCGTCTCCCACGCGTTTACTAAAAGCAGTTTTGACACCAGAAACTTGTAACTCGGCAATACTTCGCCCACGACTTTGGACTTCTAGAGACAACTGATCTATTGTGAATTGAAATATTAATAGTCGGGACATTTCTGCACTCGTATCAAAGCTGGTTGATTCATCATCGTCGGGCATAAAGACAGTTTGGATGTCAACGTGATCATTATCTGGGGTATTAAATGGAGAAGGTAATCCTGTCAGTCTAAGAACCTCGATGAGGCCTCGAGTCGCGCCGATTTTCTGCTCGTTGAGATGCGCAATCAGCTTCGGTAGGTTGGCGCAGACTGTCAAGCTGGGATACAAGGGATCGCAAGTGTGTACAATTCTATGCTCGATTTGTAAGGATATGTTAAATCGATCCAGCACGTGAAGCGTCGATGAACCTCGATTATGTGCGTATCGCCAATTGTCCTTGACTCTGCCCACTAATACCTGCAAGTCTGTAAACTCGACGCAATAGCAATCGTAGAGCTTCCGATGCAAACTTTGCTCATCAAGCGTGTCTTGTCTTTCGACAATATCCGGCGGGAGAGTTACTGATGTAGCATCTGAAATACTCGCCTCGCTCCCTGGCGGTGTCGAACATGGCGTCATAAATGTGTCTAAAATCTCATGTGAAGCGAAGTTTCACACAATCAAACTTACCATCCTCCTCACTCTGTTTATTGGAAAATTGGGTATCAACTGGTACATGTGGTTTATGGGGCACATTATGCAATTGAAATCTTCCAAAATCAATTACGGCCATTGCCGAGCTTGAATCTGTAAAACTTTCGACAAATATAATTTGAGGCGCTGATATATCCAACTGCAATTCCCAATTGGTTCTACCACCCTAAAAAATACGGGTCATTATTTGACTATACAAAAATACTTGTAGGTACCATATGACCGTCTAAAATTTGCTCCCAATTTTTAATCAACTCCTTTTTCGTTCTCAATTTTACAGCCTCGATACGCATCTGCGCGACGCTCTGTTGGTGAGGGAAGAAAAGAAATTCGGTTATCCATTTAATGGCGCCCGGCTGATAGACAACATCCAATGATTTCGACTTTACATGTAACCTACGCGACAATTTCGAAACCTTCGTTCATTATAGCGTGAACTTACCTGTAATCTGAATTGGAGTTTTGCGGTTTGCTTTCGTAAGCTAAATAGAACAAGGTATCAGATAAGTCTTCTAAATTTTTAGTCGATGACGCTTTCGGTATTCTCGCTTTAGTTAAATGTAACATCCGATCGTGACCCGGTGGTCCAACAATGATCGGAAAAAGGGTATTAGGGGTCAGTTTGTCATGCAAGCTTAAGCTTCCTAAAGATAATTCGACCAAATACGACGATGTACGGGGCCGACTAAGTATGTGAAGTGATAGATTTTTATACTGCAATTCCAACATTGGTACACTACAAAATAATGTAATGATTACTATTTCGACATTCGCGTTCAAATACCTGGACGTGCACAGCGATAGTGTACCGCTTTTTAACGAAAAGTTAAACTGCCCAAAAATGGCGTCGCGTTTCAATAAAGTATTATTTTCGGCACTATCTTTCAACGCTTCCAAAATTTCACCTTCCAATTGCGTTGCATCAGTATGCACACTGGCACTTTCTTCTGGAGTCGTATTGGAGTACCAACCCATCCATTGCGGAAACCAATTAAATAAAATACTACGTCCAGCTCCAGTGGCATTATTGGCGCCATTTTGTTTAGGAACGGACCTCATTGCGATCTATTTAAATTCAATATGCGTCAGAAGCGTCAAGGGCTTTGGGGCAAACAACATTGTCACTAACTAAAATTTCGATAAGGGCTAGAATTTAGTACAGATCTTCGTATTATTATTTTTCCGAGCATGACTGTCATTTTTAGTTAGTACTGCCGAACAAAATAAACCAATTTGTAATTGTTATTGGAGTGCTTTATCTAAACTTTAGTGGTTCAACCCAATGAATTTATGTACATTAAATAAGTCATCAAAAATACCTTGAAACGATTATAAAACAAGTTGTAAATCAGCATATGCATGATGAAAGCGCATTTTTGGCAATACAGATCAGTATTTTATTAGCAAAGCTTAAAATTATCGATCTCACGAGTAATTAAGCTCAAAATAGACTAAAGCCTGCACATCTACACTATAACAGAAAGTTATTAGTGAAAATTTGGTCCCTACCTATTGTAATTGCCGAGATCTCAGCCGGACAGCCAGCCAGCCAACTATAACGAATATAATAGCGTTTTTTTCAAAAGTGCGCTAAAAAGATATCGATGAGCGTCGAAATGCCGATGCTAAGTTCAGATAATTTAAACTCAAGCGTTCATTAATGCGAATGTGACAATTACGATGTGATTTATTGAGCTTTTCGATTATTTGAGTGAGATAAGGCGGCTATTTTAATCTTTAAGAAAAATTGTATTATTAGGTACAAATGTTGAATTAGATAAGAAACATTCTAAGAATTGGTACGGATGTGCCGATTTGAATTTCATTGTATTGGTTATCGTCGTTTTTATGTAATTTTTATTGGTTAAAGAAGTTTTAACAGGACTATTAATAGTTGTTTTTATTTGTGTTTGTAAAATAAAATTTGTTTAGTAATGTCATGCAAGTTGTGTTCATTCGGACCCTGTTCACGACGAAAGATAATTCTGATGCTCAACTACAATACAATTAATTTTACTTATTCTAGCCCACAGTTCATTGTAAGTGTTTGTCGTTTTCTCCACGTCCTCACATCTTGAATGAGCTTTTGGGTCGCTGGCTGTCTTGTTTTCCATTCTTCTGTTTCTCTCCTCCTTCTGGCTGTACTCTTCTCTACCAACAAAGTTAAGGGTATAGTGGTGGATATTATATAAGTACATATGTTTATTGGGTACTGTGCGATATGTCCGCGCTACGTCCCTGCGCCATCCTCCTCTGTCTAATTTGCTTTAATACATTTAAATTTTGTTGCTCTGTCCCATATTTCACTCCAGTATAGTACTACATTGCTAACCACAGATGCCAGGACTCTGCTTTTGGTCCCCAGGGGGCCACCACAATTTCGGAATAATTTTTGTAAGCTCGTTGCTTTCTCTGCTTTTGTATTGGTTTTTCAGCATGTCTAATGTATTCCAGGCTTCTGTCTGATCTGATTCCTAGTAAGTCTATTGCATTTCCTAGTGGGATCTCAACTCCTGCCACCCGTATGCAGGCAGGGGAGAATTTCCTCCTTCCTGCCATCAGTACCACATTAGTTTAGTACCTGCCAATTCTAAGCCATTCTGCTCCGTCCACCTTCCTATTCTCCTTGCGGGGCTTCATTCATACTTAATATTGCTTCGGTCGGCAGCGACTATTGTTAGGTCGTCTGTATACCCAATTATGTGCACCCCTCTAGGCACGATCAGCTTCAACACAGCGTCATAAGCGCTATTCCATAAAAGTGGCCCCAGCACTGAACCTTGTGGTACCCCTGTGTTCACGTCCCGAGAGCATTACCTTCTCCGCTAGGGAGTGTGTGTCGAAGCGTTTCCCTTGTTCCTCTACTATAAACGCAATAATCCTTTCAAATATCTTCTCTAAATTACTACAGAGCGCTATAAACCTTAAGGGTAAGAGCGGATTTTAATGAGTGCGCACACTTGTCGGAAACGCAGCGATGGGCAGCGCAACGAAGCGGCCTTTTTCTGTTTCTTCGCATAAAGCAGAAATTATAAATGCATCTTCCTCATTAGAGGACACAATAGCGCGCTCTATGTGCGTATAGGAACGGAAAAGCGCTCCGCGGCGCTGTCATGCCCTTCGCGTCGCCTTGCGACGTGTCGCCGCGCTTCGCTCTAGCGAGGGGTACCCTTTATTCTCCCCGACTCCTTTTTTGGTATTATAGGGTACTATATTTGCTCTCTTTCATATTTCTGGGTATTTCCCTGTACTTATCTTACTTCACAATGTATTTCTTATGGCAATAATTTCATGGCCGTGTCGATGGTGACTATGCGAGACAATAAACGAACGAACGAAGTTGGTTTCAATCATAATCAGCCATGGAATTATTTCCATAAGAAAGACATTGCCAACTTCGAGGCAAAAATGGAAGGTTGATTCCCTAGTGAAATTCTAAGGCCTAGAGGCCACGCAAGCGGTATAGATTTCTTATTACAATAGTTCTTTGCTTCGCCGCCCGAGGTCGTGCAGATGTTATCATATTTCTAATCCCATCCCTTCTTTAAGTTTGTCTTGCCCACGTGCGATATTTCTCGCGCGGTGAAGATTCTGCAGTCATACTTATTGGTTACATGCAAATTATTTTTCCACGGTTCCTTTCACAATATTTTATGTGCTAGACTATTCACTACCCCTCTTGCTTGTTTGTTTGTGTTATCTATTACAGATTAGCCAAAAGCGCCCTTGAGCTCGAAAAAGTCCTTGATATAACGTTTGATTACATATTGGTTTTCGATTCAATCGAATTATAATTACCACCTTTGTTTGATCTTCATTTAACAATTATAGCTCCGTTGTTTTTTGCAGAAGCCTGTTTTGATTTCAATAATTTTCGCTGACTACGTGTTGATCCTCTTTTTCGCTAAAACTTGCTTTAAATTTTAATTTTGACATTTCAGATCTGTCTATATTACAGTGTCTTATTTGTAATATTTTGGAGATCATTTATTAAATCACCCTCGATTATGACCACAATTCTTGTTTATGTTCTATCCCGGTCAAGGATCTCTTAGTCTGCCTTGTTTCCCCTTTTTGGTAAGTACTTATTCTCTATTCTCTTTTCTCTTTTGAAATTTAGTAAAGACTAAGCGGGGACAATCTGGTTTACGTTAACTACTTTCCCCTTTTGCTAGTGTACCAGAACCCCGACCCATTTCTACTTTGCCTGAGCGTACCCTGTGCTTATCTCAAGGTAATTTTGTTACATTTGCTCAAAGTGAATGTACCACGATCAATTTTAGGAAAAAAATATAAGCACTTTTTTATTATAGAAAATTGTCTTATCCAATCATGACTATTTCTAGAGTAAAACTTACTGTTTACGTTATTTGCAATGCCTCTTAGAAACTGTAGCTGTTTCAATTTAAGATGGTAATTCGAAAATCTGTGCCAAATCTGTCTCTAATGGAGTTTTTTGACTTTCATATTTACAAATTCATTGAATAAACTACTTATAAGCAGAAAGATCTAATCTTTCTCTTACTCTTACAAGAGAAAGAGGGCGCAATTATGCAAAATAAATATTTTGCTAAAGCACAGTGGTGTTGAATTGATTAGAAATTGACTGGATCACCATCAAAATCAAATTTACCATATTAAATACATCAAATACCTACCTCTCGTAATACTTTCAACTGCTCATAATCTCTACTCCATTCCACATCGTCCTTTAACTTTTTGTTTTCCGGCGATAAAGTTATGGCCGGTGTAACAAGTACTTTCACGTACAATGCTACATATTGAACATTCTGCTTAGCAAATTCCAAACAGGATGCCCAAGTTGCTTTGGGCTTACAAATCGAAGGCTGCTGACCGGGATATAGGCAATTTATTGCGTAAATCCACCAAGCCTTAGCATCATCTTTTACTGGGCAAAGTGGTCGATAATGTCTATAACTTCTTAACCGAGTGACATCATGAAGCCCTTTCGAACACTTAATTAACTGTTCGTATTGTTTCTGAAAGAGACAACTTTAGATTGAAGCACATTTAAGGCTGAGATGAGTACGTCTCTTAGAGTGAGTGAGACCTCGTGCAGATTTAAACTACAGACAATACGTGGCGTGTCGGACGAGCGAAGGGGACGTTCGCTTCGATTCTTTTTCAGGTGAGCTTCAGCGCTCACCGGTGGTAAGATAAAATAATTCGTGAAATTACTATGTCGATTGGACGCCATCGTTACCTGAAATACTACAACGTAACAATCATGCATGACCAAATGTCGGATATACCATAATTTCAGACATGGGCATCTTTGAGAACATTTCTGATTTTTTGACATTCATCCAATATATAGCCAGTTTGTGCATTTCCAATATCTTGTAAGATTCTTCTGAACTGTTCCAGTGCAAAAATCCGGGAACCCAGTTTGCATCACAGCTTTGTACGTAAAAATAGTCCATGGTTATGCCGACACTAACAACTTCATTCGGAAGGCTAAAGTCGTCCTCGTACCGTATGTGGACGTCTCGAATTTTTAACTGCAATCATTATCATTAATTGTCTTGAATTAAGTGAACATCCTGTGAACAGGGTGACAATTGGGATACCATAACATAGGACTCATCTCGTGCTCCCGGATTTTAGTTTCAAAAGTAAATTCTGTATGAAGTATGATCAAATGTTTAGTTAACTGACAATTGAAAAACAGAATGCGAAATAACCATGGAACATCTCTCAATGGTTTCAGTTCACATCTGTAAATTATAGATTGAATTCCCTCCGAAAATCTCCTATGGTTATTTAAATATAATAAAATAATTTTTGGGATTTTCAATTGTTCAATAATCAAAATAAGTCAACCAAAAAACCGCGAATAAATTGACCTTGATTGAACCGCGAATAAAATTCAAGATGGCGGACCGAAGTGTCCCTCTTCTACTAATACTAAAAGAGAAATTCCCGCGGACAACGGAAAATTGAAGGAAATATTGTTCATCTAACTGGACCACTAACTCCATTTTCAAGAGGAGAGAGAAGATACATGATCTACGAACACAATGTATGCGAAGGGAAATCAATGATTGAATATTAAACGAACATTTCAGTAATCGTTTAGTCCTATAATGGACAAACAAAAGCTGCTCAACCAATGCTCAACTAATTCAGTCAAACAATATTTAATGAGAGATGAAGTATCTAGCAACTTTGCCACTGTAACTGCAGATGTTAGATGACATTCTTAAGCATTATTGCACGGCTAATTCTTTAGGGAAAATGTTCCAATCAGTCACCCAGTACAGGCTGTATACCACTTTGACCACCTTTCTTATAATGTAATATACTATGCGATAAAAAATGAGTTACTGCCAAGTCACCTTTGGAATTTTGTTTACATGGGAAATCGTACTTAACTTGAACTTCCAAAGGTGACTCGACTGCCACTCATTTTTGTTCGCCAGTTACGAACTTGCAAATTTTCCATGATGTCGGTAATTAGACCAGTACCAAAGCTTAACCATGACGAGTAAGTGGAAGCATAATAAGTAGAACTATCTTTTGCTTCCATCTGAAACCTCCACTTTGCTTCTATTGCGTCTAGCGCACTCAATTTTAATTCCAACGCTGCATTCTCTTCCACAAGTGGATCCCACTAGAAAACACGATACAAACCAAGAAAATTATTAACAAAACTTACTTCGTGTACGGGTAACGGACTCGCAACAACGTACATTTGTTCGATAATTATAACCCATGGTGCCGATCGTATTTGACGTACGGGTATTTGTAACTTGATTTTACCAATAAAACCAGATTTTATAATAAGCGGTAAACCTAGGTGTCTCAGGGCATCTTTCCGCAAAGGTAAGTTTTCCAATTCCACCTCACCTGCAGGACGTAAACTATTAAAACTGTAAAACGGTCATCGCTTACTCACCTGATAATAATGCTATACTTAGCTGGTCGGTATTTAAATTTTCCACATACTTTCCCAAATAGTTATTTAAAACCCATGCAACTAAGCCTTCCAACATTTTTTAGTTGTTAGATATGTTTACATACATCATTCGAAAATATTCCACTTAGATTTGAGTTCATTGCTAAATTATGTTATGACAACTTGAAATTTACACATAAAATTAGTTGTTGGGCATCAATTTGTTATTTTACAAAGTTGTTGGGTTTATTTAATATAAAGTTTCATAAAAAATAAAATAGTTTTATTTATGATTGCACAATGATTATAAACATCATATGATGACATCCATATTTGTTTGATTCATAATTTTACAGCAGTGTCTACCATAACGCACAACAATTTCGAGTTCTGTAACTAACATTACACCACAGTAGTCAACAAAATCTGGGTGCGTTCACCAGACGAAGCGCTTCATGAGCGCTATCTAAAGGCGGAAATACTCTAACAAGGTTTCCCGCGCTAGTTACTGTCTGATAGCACTGTCGAGGTGTAAAGACCAACGTATGTCCGACTTGGTGGTGGTGTGTACACTTCGACAGTGCTATCAGACAGTAACTAGCGCGAGGAACCTTACTAGAGTATTCTCACTTTTAGGGCCGGTTGCATAAAACCCGTTTGACCGCAGGTTGGACTTCAACCGACAGTTGAGAGAGATTTTGCGTTGCATAAAGGTTAACCGCGGGTTCAACCGGCGGTTGAACCGGCGAAATTTCGACCGGCGGAAATCCACTGGTCGAGCCGCTTCAACCGACGGTTGACGGCCCAGTCGATCCGTTCGCAAGAACTAAAATAACTTGAAAACCATCCTTTTTGCTCATATTTGCGCTTTTGTTAGTTCTTGTGATGTGGTCTCAACAGTGCTTGTGATTTTCCATCATCGTTTTGCTCAGCGTAAAGACTACCTATACGGGAATTGTGTAAAAGTGAGGTTAGTACATACAAATTAATACAAACGTCAAAAATATATCGCTCATTTCATGTGCGTTCAGTGCAAAGAGCTGTTCAGAATGGCTAGAATTGAAGATGGAAAAGCGAGATTTTTGTGGACAGAAAGTGATTCGGAGGAAGAAGACAGAGGACGGAGATGCAGATTCCTGTGGGCAAAAAAAACCTTCATCCGAGTATGAAGAGCATGTGGGGGCAGGCCCAGCACCTAGAAATGAGTTGTGAACAGTATAGGTTATTTGTAGTGTTAAGGTTTTCTTCTTAATTTTTATTTCAATTTGAATACCATCAGAAACCAAAACCTCTGTAACCCACAATCCAAAGAATTAAAGATACCGCAGTAATTTGTTACAATATAACACCCAATCTTGAATGCAAGCGATCATATTTATTGGAGGGGGAAGGATAAGAAGTTGTTCCTTTCAATTTAAGGAGACTACATGAAAGAGGACAACGTTTATTAGTTTTCGTACTTCCGAGACTAAAGTAACAACTTCACTCCATTATGACAAGTACTAAAGTGTCACTTTTTGTCCCGCCGGGATTAAATTTGGACGAAATCCCGGAAGGATGAAATTACTAACAAGGCAATTTCAGTAGTTTGTTCCACATTTTGTATGCTGCACTACTTCTTAAACGCATCGTACTGCTGCTCATATAGTTTTTTGGATTTCGGTGGTATCAATTCTTTACCTAATTTGGCTGCTTTTTATCAATATCAAATACACCTTTGTCACCCACCACCAAAATTATGACACTAGCAATGACAGTTTCCAAATTATTTTTGTTACCATAGCATAGGGATTGTCGTACCAACGCAACGTTCCTATGGTAACTTGTTAAGCAGCGATTTTTTGAAAGAACGCGTTTTCTAACTCCATATATATTAAGTGTTTCAGTTTCGGAAGTACGAAAAATATCGTATATACCTTGCGACTGAAGCAGTGGTCTTAATCCCTCAGGTAAATTATGGCCCTCCCTTCGGTCGGGCCATAAACTTTACCTTCGGGATTAAAAGTACTACTTCAGTCCCGCGGTATATAATATACTATTTACGCCTTGTCAAATATCCCATTACGCATTTGTCATGTGCACACTACAAACACGGCTGCCGCGCTTTCCGTATACTAAAAGCGGATTGGCTAGTAACGAATCGTCAGTGTAGTCAACCGTAGAAATCTAAAACCAACCATTGGTTCCTCAACCGACAGAGAAATAGCGTTTATGCAACGCGTTTCATTCCAACCGACGGTTGACCCCAAACCGGAGTTTCACTAACCGGCGGTTCAACCGTACTTTTATGCAACCGGGCCTTAGATAATTATCAACTGTCATGAATGACATGTTTCAAATAAATACCACCCATTTTTCGTCGAGCCGGATTCACGCGATTAAAATGCAAATTCCGCGAGAAATTGGTGTCTCGTTTTTTCCCTACATCATGTCAGTGTATACATTGGTGTATACCTACTTAGGCGCTTTCTTTCGGCTATTTCGCGATCATGATTCCAAGTTTTACGAAAAAACCCGCGAATTTAAATCAAAGTATGGTTAAGTTTACGTAGTGCCCATTTGCATTCGCATTACGTATTTTTTGTTTGGATTATGAAAATAATTTAAATACAAGTGGAAGTACTTGCACGATTATGCTCCTCTTCAGTTACAAATATTGACTAACCTAACATTTGAGCAAAAATATGCTTGCATTTATAGGTTAGGAATTCGTGATCATAAAACTTTTATGTTCAGTTTGTTCACGATTTTAACAATCATGACCATAAGATCACACTTTGATCACCGAAAGAAAGCGCCTCCTATAGGTACATACGATTCCAACGTTGTTTCGAAGGATGTTGTGGCAACACCATAACATGTAACCTGCGATGAGCTGACCGACGTGCAGCGAACGAGGCAACACTGCGGTTATATAGGTACCTAGGATACTCCATATGTCTATGGGATACTCACACGTTAATAGCTGCAGCATCTATATAGTGAAGAATCTTTAGATACTACCGCTGCATCATAACGTAGGACCACCACCGCTCATGTAGCGTGGACAGGGGTTGGAACCCATATGAAATATAGGTTCCGGTTCCGCACTTTTTAGGTAGAATTATTTTTAAGGGTTCCGGTTCTGTGGCTTCAGTAATTTTCGGTTTCGGTTCCGGTTCCAGTTTTTTTTTCGATTTTTAAGAGTTCCAACAAAAATAAATAACATTATTATTAAAAAATATAAATTATTATTAATTATAGAAAATAAATAATGCACAAAATTAAAGTGTGTACATTATTCTTCTGCATAAATATATTTATTAGGTAAAATACCGGATCTTTGGCACTAATAATAACGGTACCGGCATCGGTTCCGGTTATCACAATTTCTTAAATAACGGTTCCGGTTCTAAGTGAAGCGCTTATGAATCCAATCGGTTCCGGTTCCGCTACCGGTTATTTTCGGTTCCGGTTCCAACCCCTGAGCGTGGACATACTTCAACGTTCTTATGCACCATTCACCTGCGACTATCTGAACTCCTGAGATAACATTTTGTGAACTCGATTCAAAATCAAGGGCTATAGATACATGTTTTCTTGGGAGACAGGCATATTATATATTACCCAAGAGTCCCAAAATTTGCGTTTCTCCTTTTTTCTCGCCAACCTACCTAGTTTTTTGGTTACCCTTCCTTATTTTGTAAACAATTTTGTACTTTCAGGTGGTACCATGAACTGAGATGCGAAAAGGATTTTGATTTGGACAAAATTGATATGGGGGATTTTTCGAACGTGCATATAGCTTAACAGCTACATTTATATTGAGAAGGTATGTAGCGTTAGAAAGAATAGAGAATGTTTAATCTTCACTGTAATTGGTTAAAATACGAGTTTTATTTTTCTTGTGTGTGCTTATCTCATAGATATATCTATGGCTTATCTTCAAACACGGCGCCATCTGCTACCTACTTTCATATAATATTGAATGCAGTATAGTTTCTGGAAATTTGAAAAAAAATTATATTTTATACTCTTTATTTTTAGTTTATTATTACAAGAACAGTTCTTATACCTACGCTAATATTTTCAGTATCCTTCAAAATGTAAAAACGAACATTCTGAAGAAGATAAAAATATATCTTTACAAATAAACCTAAGTACAGTTTTCCACGTCAATTTCCATAGGAACACCCCTAAGTTCGTTATTTAAAGTTGTGAGAAGAGGGTATTTACCACACCCGCATGTGTTTTTGAAGTCATCTAAATCTAACGCCCACAACATTCCCCCTCCTAAGTTGTGATCCTTTATAAATCGCGATTTTCTTCTGATTTCTGCAATATCGTCGTAGGACACCCACTGGTTACCACTAAAGGCGTAGGGGCCGATCCTTCCTAAGGGATCTCTGGTGACAGTCCATGATCGTCTTTTAACTCTTTCACACACCTAAAAATTTCTGCTTAGTTTTACCAAAACATTTGCCTACCGAGACTTGGGAGATACCTCATAGAAAGCTAAAAATCCGCCAGCTCGTGTGTAATCGCCAGCTTCACCAGGACCGTACGACTTTTCGTTTAATCCGTTACGAGTGGCATCCGCGAGACTAAAAGATTGACCGTAGAATGGCACACCTAGAATTAATTTGCTTGGCGAAGCACCCATTTCAATCCAGTAATTTACGGAATAATTCTACAACGGAAAGCGTAACTTGGCGTCATTCAACACGTTGGCCTTACAGCATTAAAGTAATCATAAGCGTCACCGGGGTAATAATCCAATGGGGCTACGTGCCCCGTCTGCTTATCCCAATGTCCATGATAGTCGTACGTCATAAGCGCTATCCAGTCTAAGTATTGACTAAGAATAGGAACATCATAGCCGGCATCTATTACTGTTTTACTAGGCGACACTGCTGCTGATAGCAACAGTCCCTTTTGTTTGAATGCGAAGCTTAATTCAGTCACCAAAGCAGCAAATCCCTGTTTGTCCGACTGCGGGCCCTTATTACAATCGACCTAAAAGGAAGTAGTTATGAGTTTATTCCTCTTAAAAGGGCAAAGAAACGCACCTGCCAACATTTGGGATACTCCCAATCCAAATCTAAACCATCAAATCCATATTCTTCGATAAATCCCAAAACATGGTCAACAAATTTCGATCTTGCATTGGGATCGTTGACCAAATGCGAGTACTTACTTCCCAAGGAATCATTCCATCCTCCTAAAGCGATCAAAATCTTAATGCCTCTTGATTTCAGTTTGACCACTCTAGCGTAAAACTCTAAAAATATCACAATGACGTTGGATATTGTTCAAGGTTGGAAGTACTGACCGTTATCGATGTCCGCCCAAGAGTCATGAGGTTTAATTGTAAGAGTGTTCGGGTCCAAGACCGCAAAGCCGTAGGCAATATGCGTACAGAGTCGAGGGTCGATATCCTCCGGCAGGTACTTTCCCGCGTCCTGCCGGTACCAGGCCCAATTTGTGAAGTAACATACAACCTTATAAGTTCCATCGAAAGTGTCATCTACCGTTCCCGGTTTGTATGGCCTTGGGGTAGTTTGTTCAATTACAGGCGAAGATAGGCTAACTTCGGTTGTGGTGGCGTCCGGGTGGCACTTGGTGTTTTCGGGCCAATCGCAGTGGTCTTCATTCCAGAACAACCCAGTGGGACAGTTTTGGACCATCAAATGCCCTTGGTTACATAAGTAATATTGGTTGCAGTTATACTTGTGTGGTACGAAAAGGCGTCCATCGCATGGCAGACTCGTTGTTGGTGGTGGTCGCGAGGTTGGTTTTTCGGTGTGGGGCTTCTCGGTTTGCCAGGGAGGTTGTGGTTTTGGTGTCTGCCATGATTCAGTAGGTTTCGGTGAGGACGTGGCCGGTGAAGGGGGTTGGTCGACACCTAGCTGGCATTGAGGATCGGGTACCTTGTAGTTTCTGAGCACTCTATTTATTGTTCTCAGCAACGGATAGTTTTCACATCCGCAAATGTTTTTAAAGTCGTCTAAGTCTAAAGCCCAAACCATTCCACCGCCCAAACCCATGTTCCTGATATACTCTGACTTGTAGCGAAGCATTGCAGCGTCATCGAATGATACCCACTGATCTCTTAAATATGCGTATGGGCCGATTCTGAATTTCTTATCTCGAACCACATTCCAACCCTTTTTGATTATATTTGTGCATATCTAAAACGTTTAGCGATGCAATAATTTGCACCCAGTGATCGCAAACAAACTAACCTCGTAGTAAGACAAAAAGCCTCTAGCTCTAGTTTCTTCGCCCGCTTCTCCTCCGCCATACGTAGGCGCGTTTAAGCCATGGTTAGAATTGTCAGCCAAGGAGAACGACTGGCCATAAAGTGGCAATCCCATAACAAGTTTCTTTCTATCGGCACCTTGGTTTATCCAATAATTAACCGAAAAGTTCTATAAACATTTTAGTCAATAATGGAATATGTCAAGTTAGTAATTAAAGAATAAGTTGTTGCGTATTTTCCTCAAAGTGAAAGATCGCTATTGGCTGCAGTTTGACGTCCGTCCGTCCGTCTGTCCGTCACACGTACTCCTTCTAAACCACTGAACCGATTTTGGCGATATAGGACTCATTTGAAAGGGCTTGGTCCAAGGATTCCGTGCATACCCATATTTCTTGGTTTTGCGCATGCGCAGTGTCAAAAATTTGGTTTAACGCATGTGCGATGCTAACTTTTTTATTTATGAAGATATTTAAATCACAGCCGTCTATTAGTATTTGTATGTAAACACTACGAATATAAGTAAAATGAATGACGTTTCCAAAATGTTGTTTTGCGCATGCGTAATGCCAACTTTCTTATTTATGAATGAAATTTGATACATAGGTATTTGGCATAAGGACAAATTTAACACCAGTTGCAAAATTTGGTTTTGCGAATGCGCATTGCCAACTTCCTTATTAACGAGCTCCTAGCGAGTTTATAATTTTGTGGTGTCTGTCCGTCCATCCGTCCGTCCGTTAGCACGATAACTCATAAACGAAGGGACCGATTACGATGAAATTTTGCAGGTGGATTCTTTATCAAATTAGTCGGATCGGAGTTCGTGAATTGGCAATGTAGCCCAAAAAATAAAGTAGGCCCTTTTGACATCTCCGTTATTTATGAACCAAATTGCATGAAATTCAATATGCGCATATAGCTTTAGCCATATAAAACACAATTCCAAAAGTTGAGCCTAATCTATCAGCATTCACAGTGCCCTTTGCGCATCTCGACCATTTACAGACCGAATTGCAAACTTTCTTATTTATGAAGGTATTTAAATGAAATTTGATACATAGCCACTTGGAATAAAAGCACATTTAACGCCAGTTTTAAAATTTGGTTTTGCGCATGCTATAGCCATACCCAGGAGCTCGTTTGCTGTATTTGTTTAATTTATTTACTGAAGAATTTAAATGAAACTTTAATACATAGGCACTTGAATAACAAGCAAATCTAACACCAGTTTTAAAATTTAGTTTTGCGCATGCGCAATGGCAACTTTCTTATTTATGAAAGCAGTTAAACGAAATATCATAATTATGTAGGTACCTTGAATGAAACTAAAACTAATACCGGTTTCAAAATTACTGTTAACGCATGCTGTATGTTTTATTTATGAAGGTATTCAATGAAATTTCTAATGTAGACAATGCGCAATGCTATTTAGGAAAACATTTATAAAAAGTTCTATATGTAGACACTTCCAATAAAAGTAAAACTAATGCCCATTTCAAAATTTGTACGTATTTGTATACGCTCCACTATTTTTCATTAAACTGTATAGACTTCGACGATAGGCGGCTCATTTTAAAGAGAATGGGGTAAGGATATCGTGCCTACCGGTATTTTTTCTTGGTCCTAGCATTAATATTATTAGGAGGAAAATACGCTCTCGTCATTTATGTTTGCATAATGCCTTTTTAACTTATTTCTTTTGGTCTCGAATATAAAATAAAGCAATTACTGTGGCGTGGAAGCAAAACTCTTGTGAAGCACTAGCTAGGTACATTAAAAAAAAAAGAAAAGTGCAAGCCTTGACAAAACGTATCTGCTGATTGAGCTAATCTTTCCAGAACGGAGTATTGAAGTGGTTACGCGCAAAAGTGATACATCTTCCTGAGATGCATCCAAGGGTACATTCGACTTGGTCAGATCACTAATAACGGAGATATGATGCATTTTAGAGAACAAATTGTGCAAGTGAGTACTTTCAAACAGAAAAGTGAACAGTCAGCAATTTCGGGGAGAGAAGGGTATGCGATTATGAAGAGAAGAGCTGCTGACATAGAGAAGTGGAGACGCCAAGAACCTCGTAAACTGTGCTACGTTTCATAATAAATTGTGCTTAAATAAAACTTACAGTGTTAAAGGTAACATCTTCATCTTCAGGATGTGCGTACATTGGAGCAGCAATTCCGGTTATTTTATCCCATTGACCATGGTAGTCGTAGGTCATGATCGCGATCCAATCCAAATATCGCGAAAGAGTGGGAACGTCATATCCGGCGTCTACTACTTTTCTATTCGGCGAAACTGCAGCGGACAATAATAAACCCTTCGGCCGCAAAGCGGCATGTAATTCCGTGACGAAGTCCGCAAACGCTTGTTTATCTGCTTCGGGACCTTTCGTACAATCGACCTGGAGATTGCGTCGCCGTTAAAAACTGCTTTATTCCATTGTAAAGTATGTACATTACCTGCCAACACTTGGGATATTCCCAATCTAAGTCAAGACCATCAAAGTTATTTTTCTCGATGAAATCAACCACGTGGGCGATAAAACGTCGTCTGGCTGAAGGATTATTGACCAACTTGGAGTATTTGTCACCGGCAGAATCATTCCAACCTCCAATAGCAATTAAAACCTTAATTCCCTTGCCTTTAAAGGCCGTCACCTTCTCATAGAATTCTAAAACACAAATAAGTAAATTGAGTACGTTTTCGCGACTTACTGTTATCGAAATCCGCCCAAGAATCATGGGGTTTAATTATCAACTGATCTCCATCAAGCACAGCGAACCCATAAATGATGTGCGTACAGAGATCAGGATCAATATCGCTTGGTAAGTATTTGCCTACTCCTTGCCGATACCATGCCCAATTGGTGAAGTAACAGACCATTTTGAATTCTGAATCGGTATCTACCAATGGAGTTGCCGTTGATGTGGATTGAGGTGGAGCTGAAGGAAAAGGTAAGGGTTCTACAGACGAGGGTAATGCCGGTGATGGTTTGGTGAAGGCAGCGTCGGGAACCTTGGTGATGGTTTCTGTAGAATACTCGCCACCTGGACTCGCTAGTACATTACGGATCACGGATAGTAGCGGATGCCTGCCCCCTCCGCAACGATTCTTAAAATCGTCCAAATCTAAAGCCCAAATCATTCCACCGCCCAAATTCATTGCCTTTATGTATTCTGACTTTCGCCTAATTATATCTTCGTCATCGAATGAAACCCACTGGTTACCTTTGTAGGCGTATGGGCCCATTGCCCTATATGGATCTTGAACGACAGTCCAACCTTTATTTTTGATATTGTCGCAAATTTCATAATAGGCCAAGAAACCAGCGGCGCCAGTGAATTCTCCGGACTGCCCAGGTCCAGGTGCCTTCGCATTCAAGCCGGTGTTGGCGCTATTCTCCAATTGGAAGGATTGTCCGTACAAAGGCATACCCAAGATTAATTTCCTTCTATCCGCACCTTGGGCGATCCAGTAGTGTATTGAATAATTCTATAACGTTAAAATTCTAACAAAACCTATAACCGTTTCCCCGACACTTACCGCGTTAAAGTAGTTAACATCAGCTTCTGGGTGTTCGTAAAATGGCGCAACGTGGCCGGTTTTCTTATCCCACTGTCCGTGATAGTCGTACGTCATAACGGCGATCCAGTCGAGGTACTTCGAGACGACTGGAACATCGTAACCCGCATCTATCACGATTTTATTTGGAGAAACGGCCGCTGACAGCAGATATCCTTTTGGTATAAACGCCTCCTTAAGTTCTTTTACAAATGCACCAAATGCCGCTTTGTCAGAATCTGGGCCTTTTTTGCAGTCGACCTAAAAGTAACACTTGCGAGAAGCGGATTGGGGCGAAGACCTATAATACCTGCCAGCACTTGGGATATTCCCAGTCCAAATCTAATCCATCGAAATCGTACTTGGCCAAGAATTCCATCACGTGCTTAATGAAACGTTGGCGTGCGGCGGGATTGTTGACTAACCGCGAATATTTGTCGCCCAAGGAATCGTTCCATCCTCCTAACGCCAATAAGACCTTTATTCCTTTCTTCTTATACGCGACCACTCTTTCGTAGAACTCTAAAAGTCGACATAAGTAACAAATTAACAGATGCACAAAGCGTTTACTGTTATCGAAATCGGCCCAAGAATCGTGCGCTCTCACTACCAAATTTTCGTAGTCGAGTACAGCGAATCCGTATATAATATGAGTGCACAAGTTGGGATCGATATCCTCTGGCACATACTTTCCGACTCCCTTTCTGTACCAAGCCCAATTTGTGAAGTAGCAAACGATTTTATAATGCCCTGATATGGGTTCCATGGGCTCTGTAACGATAGGAGCTGCTTCCGTTGTGGTTGTAGTTGTAGGTGTTTGGGTTGGTAATGGTGGCAGCTCGTGATGTTCGTCACCGCCTTCGGTGTCGGTATCACCCCCTTCGGTGCAGTGGGCATTTTCGGGCCAATCGCAAGTATTCCTGTCCTATTTTGGAAATAAAAACTTTCCATTGTATTATCTTGTGTGACATGTGATTGGTGAGTTTCTTTAAGTAAGAGACAGGAAAAAGGTGTTTATTCGTAACCTGTGCCCCTAGTTTAGGGACAAATGGCAATCTGTAGGTTATTAATTTTTGAGGTATTCTAGCAGCTATAATGGCCTAAGAGGGACCTCAGGTACAGTTCTAGTCGACACCAGAGCTAGAATTTTAGCTCTAATGCGTCATGGGGATCGGAAGTTCACTTAAGTAGCAGAAGATTAAGTTCAAATAAATTGCAAACTTCGACAAGGACCATGGTAGGAGAGGAATTTGTTCTAATATACAGTGCGTTCGAGATAAGAGTGTCACTTCAATATCTTTTTTATTTGGCGAGGTACAAAAAAATGTGTCAAATATTTGATATGTGAGATTACGATCTATCCGATCGCATATTGAAACTTCCGATTTAACCGGAAATCGATTTTTTTTATTTTTCAAATGCATCGTCTATGATTTTTGAAAAGAGCAATCAATTTGCTGCACGACAACAAAGAATATGCATATGGTTGGTATACACAAAAATGGAGAATTTCGCGATTCAATCTTTAGAAATCTGAAGGATGGATGGAGTAAAGTACTTACGCTATTCCAGTGTAATCCTTCTGAGCACTTAAAAACTTCATACTTATTCCATAAGCAGATTAAATAGTGCGAACAATCTCCTGGATACGCTGCGAACGAACTTGCCTTGCATGGAGAGTACGGTTGTTGAGCGTCTACTAACCATTGTTAGAGATTTAAATTCAAAAAAACCCATGAAACTTACTTGTACTAGTTGGATCTACGACTAGCTTCTGCGTAACTTGCGGGACCTTCTTGGTACACCTCACTCTATAACTCCAGTCGCACGTGGCGCTTTCTGTGTTCCAGTATAATCCCGGTCCACATTTTTGTGTTACCAAATGACCATTAACGCAGACGTAAAAACTGCTGCACTGCTCGTGGGGGAAGTATTCGCCGGTACTGCAATGGTGCATATCCGGGGGAGGTTTTGTAGTGTACGGCCTCTTAGTGGTGGTGGTAACTGGCGTGGTTGTTGTGAATGGTGTTGCCGTCGTGGCCTTTACTGGTTTTGTAGTGGCTAGAATTTGGGAAATTAATACTAGTCGACGAACCGGTAGATATTCTAGTACTTTTTTTGTTCACATGACACGCTGCTGCATCAGGCCAGTCGCAATTGCCAGTTCTTTCGTTCCAATGAAGATTTCCAGCGCACTCTTCTTTTATCATCTCTCCTAAAACGCAACGGTAATATGCGTTGCAGTTGGTTGGGTGAGGGCGATATGTTCCCGCTTCGCACTTTTCTGTTGTTTCCTGTTCGGGTTCCGGAGTTGTTGGCGTTGGCCGGCTTGTAACTAAAATTGTTAATTAGTGTTAGGGGATTTATTTTAAAATGTACATTTGAGGTACGTATTTCAGGTATTGTGTCACGGGGGGAGGAAGTAAATCTGTCTAATTCGACATTGTCGGTTTTTGTACATCGTCCAAGGGCAAGGTTATTATCTAATATAACAATAATTTTGTTTTTATGCTTCGTGAAAGGACATTTACACCCGCAATATATCCCTCTTAGAGGTTGAAAAGGTCACCTCAGAAAATTCCCGTGTGATATAATACGTGTAGCAGAATTTAAAAAAATTTAATTTTCTCTGAGTACGACCCTATCATGTTTGTGGGCGAGTGCTTTTTAAGGTCTTTTAAGTCGTAACCACAATGGCGAATTACAAAAATAATAACATTGCTAATTGCAATTCTGATATTTTGGATATACAGAGAGGGGTGCCACAAGGCAGCGTACCAGGAGCGGTAAAGTGTGCATATAATTCAGTTTAATTGTATTTTACCAGGCAAGTTGTGGGGTAGTTTTGATTTATTTTATTTTATATGTTTTTTGGGGTGCTGAATCCGAATCTGAGGTTTGCTAACAAAATTTCATGACGCAACATTGAAAACAATACAAAAAAAGTTGAATAAGATATTTTTTTAGCAGTTTTGTGCGTACAACTCGAAAACTATCAACTATTCGAAAATAACCTCCCTATCTTATATCTTATCGGCGTGGTAAAGAGTGTAACGTTAATGATGGCAGAGATATACATAGTTTGTAAGTATGCCTTTGCGGTTAGCAATCTGTCAAGACCTTTAAAGCCGCAAATAGTTTCCGCCAACTTCAAAAAACCTTCACGGTTCTTTAAGGACCTGCCCTATGTTCGTGTGTATCTGTGACCACAGGGACCCGCTGTTAATAACTCCCTTACGACGAATGAGAGCTCCAGTCCAGTGCCTAAACAATTATACTCAACGTACCTCCTATCATATCATACCACTGTAATAATAATATAATACGAATATTAAGGAATTCGAATTGTGCAAACTTTAGCACTTTAATTTTGTTTCAGCGACATCTAACGCATAAATCCATAAGCGTCATATTACAGTTTTAAACGGTACATGTTTATACTGCTCCGCAATAGAGGGCGCTTTTAAGTATACCTAAATTTGTTTCCCAAAAAATGCATAAGGTTAGCAATCTGTGTATGTGTAGACCTGTGACTGTATGTTTGCTGACGACTTGACAATATTAGCATCTAAGAATAACAATGTCAGACATGGTAATTGACATGAACAAAACCATGCAATCTGTTCAAAATCATTTAGATGATATTAAATTGATACTAAATAAATCCAAAACTTGCTTTATGTAGTTTTATACCAAGAAAAGCAAATACAGGGAAAGCGACCTATTAAAAACAGGTGAAAAATCCATCGAACAAGTCAGTGCATTTAAATTGTTGGGTTGTTACATTGATATGTCTCTCAACTGGAAGGATCACATTGCCTACCTGCGCAAAAAAATTGCACCAAATTGTTTTGCACTTAAGAGACTATCTCACATAACAAATAAGAATGTATGCAAAATCTATTACTAAGCGCATATTGAGTCATTATTGAGCTATGCCGTTATATTCTGGGGAAATTCTTCAAATGTGGGCAGAGTCTTTATTGCACAAAAACGAATCATACGTTATATGTTTAATATTCCTTTCCGTGATACCTGTAGAACAACATTTGTAACAGAAAAAATTCTGACATTACCCTGTATACTATATACAGGGTGGTGAGTTGCGTAACGCATCATAGGGATTTCAATGTAAAATTGAACACGCGAACATGCGATTATTGGCTCCCCAAATTATTTTAGGGCAAAAATGCGTTAAGGTTTTTTGTAGAAAAAAATTTTTTACGCCAATCAACTGTATTAGTTTTCAATTTTTTTCATATTATAAAGACGGAAAATTGGAAAAATAAAACCCGCATCTTTTTCAATAATCTGCGATGCCATGAAATTTTCTAAAACAAAAAGATATGCAGTTATCAATTAGCAGCAGTTCGAAATGGCTTTTATGATCAACTTGGTTACTGTATTGCAGTTAATGGTGACTTATTCGAACATTTATTGTAAATTAATATTAGGAAACCGTTTTTAGTAATTTGGTCTTTCTTTATGTTGAATTCACTGTTCTAAATATAATACTTTTTGATAGAATTTGGGGATTTACGATAATTCAACCGCTTTAACCGGATTGGTAGAAATCACCATAGAATCAATTGTGGCAATAATTGTAACCATAGCAAAATTTACCAACCCGGTTTAACCGGTTGAATTATCGTAAATCCCCATTGATTTGTTTTATATCATTTCATGGAATGACGGATATTCGGCCCTATGCTGTATCACTATCGTTAAGAATAACGATATCGTTATGCGGCGTTACCATAATTTTTTAAAAATCGGTATGCTGTATCACTCGTAGCAAGTGTGGGATAACGATTATCGTAATTCTCTATCGTTATTTTGCAACCATAACCAGAAAAACTTAACGACAGGGTTCATGCTACCCGTTTGGGGCGTAACGGTCCTGTCAGCGATTCGTTTGGAGTTTAAGCGGGTGTTAAAGAGAAATTTTCAAGGATTTTTGCAAGTAGCTTTGTTTGGGCAATTGGAAAATGTAATAAGGAGGTGAGTTCTGTGCCTTTTAATACTCGTAGATTATGTTTTTATTGAGACATGAGGAAAACATCCAACGAAGAATTTTACGAGGCAACAGCGATCCGTTTCAGCTGGGTGAAATTGATTTTCAAAAAAATTTTTGAGAATCTGTAAGGCAGTATTTGGTGGTCCATTTCCGCTGGCAAACTCCTGCCACAAATGTTTGATTTTGTTTGCCTCCAACGGTTTTGTCTTTCCGTGGAGGATTATGTTATTACTTTCAATAAAATATAACAAGTCCTCAAATTGTTTCCTAGTGGTTTTTCTCCGCCTCTTATTATTCTCTTCGACATTCGCCATGTCGTGAAAAAACAACTAGGTATAGGTACACGTACAATTAATAATACAAATAATTTTAAAGAAACGTCTGCATTTCCAAATCTCGCGGGCATTTGTTTAAAGATAAAGCGCGCACCACAACGCCCTCTTATATTTTATCGCTGTGGTATTTCACTTTTACACGCACTGCCGTTGCGCATCGTTCCTTGTCTTCTAGAATGTGACACTTTTTTCCGAAATAGCCACTGCGAGATACCGGACAACGTTACGATACCGTTAAAATATTGATACAGCATATCGCGTTTATCGATAGTCGTTGTGGTCATCATAACCTTTGATCGTTAATCTGCGATAACGATTGATCGTATAGAATAACGAGAGTGATACAGCATAGGGTTGATTGACGTAGTTTTTGTATTATAAAATTCCATGGCATCACAGATTATTAAAGAAGATGGGGGTTTTATTTTTCCAATTTTCTGTCTTTATTATGCAAAAAATTGAAAACTAATACGGTTGATTGACGTAAAAATTTTTTCCTACAAAAAACCTTCATACATTTTTGCTCTAAAATAATTTGGGGAGCCACTAATCGCATGTTATGAATTTTACATTGAAATCCCTATGATGCGCTACGCAAGTCACCACCCTGTATACATACTTGAAATACTAAAGTTTGTTCGGTTGGATATACACAAATTTTGCCATTTAAATCAAAATCACTCTTATCATTCGAGAAAGGGCTTTGACCTAAAATACCCGAATCACAAATTGGCCCTTTTTGAGTCGAATCCTTTTTACATGGGAGTTACACTGTTCAATAAACTACCGCCCGCGGTAAGACAATTACCGTATCATAAATTTGTCAAGACGATAAAACAAATCCTAGTTCTCAAAGCCTACTATTCCCTGGAAGAGTTTATTAGCGATAATTTAGGTATTAAGTAAATTAAATTAAGTAATCACTATATTGTATGTTTATCAATGATACATTATCATAGTTACATTATATTATTATACTTATGATTTCTGACATGTCCTATATCTATTATAATGGATCACCTGGATTAATAAAAGCATTGTTATTATACAATTTTGCTAAGATCGTACGCAGTTTGTAAAAGCAAAAATGAAAAGAGGATGGCACAATTGAGGGAGATATTTTTTTTTGTCTAAAGGCCAAAATAATGACGGAACATCCTGTATATGAGAATAATTTCAATTTCTTTAGTGCAAATCTTATGGGTTATTTACGAATAAACACAAATTTAGTTTGTTTTACTTGAATTTGTGTGTCAGTGTTTGTGTTTTCCTTTTAGAATTGCCCGTTTAATTCAAGACGCTTTTGGTTATTTTTACAATAAAATTATACAGAGGCAAGTTGTGTGAGAAGTTTAATGCGTGTTTTCGAGTTGAAAAAGCAACCAGTTGTAGTGCAGCGAGACCTTTTGTTAAGGTTCTCATTTTATTAGCAGTTAAAAGTTCTAATAGCCATAGAAAATTTGTCATCCTATTAATCAACCCAGTTTTGTTTTTCATTTAATCTGTGTTCGGTGAAGTTCAGAAGCTGTCAGCGTGTGTGCACCTAGTATCGCAAAACTTTTGCCACCAAATTATTTGAATTATTAAGAAAAAAAATTGTAAGTATTTTAAGATCGCTTGCGTGCGGGGTAATATGAATTTTGTTTTATTTCTTTCGGAATCAATGTTTACCATTGTCAATCAATCAATTGTGTGTTTATTCAAATCTATTCTGCGACCAGTAGGTATAGAGTCTTCATATCAGATTTTTGTTTCCGTACCCAAGAATTATGTCAGATGTTACTGATGAAAATTTGTGTATTTAATTCTTTGGAACTTCTGAATTTATAGGTTGTTTTGTTTTAGGCTATCTGGACAGATGTGCGCCGGATTAGTTTTTGCGTACGGGTTTAGCCTCTAATAGTTCATGTACCTACAAATCGAATATTGGGTATTCATAATCCAGGTCAGTGGATTAGTAAATATAAACATTTAAAACGAGAACATTGTGCGACGGTCTAATTCGTGGTTTTTACTTTGGGGACAAGATGAGGTAATTTTAATAAGATTTACTTCTTAGTAAATGCTAATTCACGGGTAGGTATTTCGAACAGCACCGACGGTATAAACGATTTGTTTTGCACTCTAAAGCTAAACGGTAAGCGTAACTCTGTTTACTTTCAACGTAACCCTCCACCTGTGAAACAATTTCCTGTACGTAAAAACAGTTTGATGTGAGTGTTCCGTTTGTATGATTGTGCAACCCTGGTTTGCTGGCCCAAAAATGGGTATACCTAGTAATACTGTACCTTCCGGAGTCCACGCTGTGGTTGTCCTTTTTCTTGTAGTGGTTGTCGTAGGTTTGGGCGTAGAAGGAACCCACCATGGTGGCGTTCCAGTAGATGGCGGCCTATGTGTGGTAGTAGTGGAAGTAGTTGTCGATTCCCACCACGCAGCTGTGGTAGAAGGCGGTTTGGTGCTAGGATGATGACCCCAATGTTCCGTTGTAGGAGAAACTTCTGCTCCCGTGTCAAAACCAGTCGTCATCGTAGGAGGTGATGGGGTGACTGGAGTTGGCGGTTTCGTACAATCACCATACGCTGGCGTACTGTCGTGAATCAAACCCAGCCCTTTGTTTAAGCTACGTAGCAAGGGGAACGTTTGTTGGCAACACTTGTTAAGAAAATCGTCCAAATCAACCGTCCAAGCGACTGCTCCTCCAAATCCATGTGATTTTATATACTTCGCCTACAAATCGATTAATAGAAGGAAAACTTTCAATGACCTTTTACCTTTTCTTGTATGGATTCAACGTCATCGTAGCCCACCCATTGATCTCCATAATATGCGTATGGGCCCGTTGTTTTATCTACGTCTTGATTAACACTCCACCTACCGTTCTTAATCCTGCTACATATTTCAAAGTACGAGAGCATTCCAGGTTGCTTTGTATATTCTCCAGCCTCACCCGGGCCGACTGTAGGCACACCTTGGCTGTACTTTCTATCAGTCGCGGCCAAAGTGAAGGTTTGCCCGTAAAAAGGTACGCCGACCAGCAGTTTTTCTCTCGGTGCGCCGTTTGCAACCAAAAATTCCATAGTGAAGTTCTAAAGAGAAAGGTTAGAATGCATGAAAGTTGTGCTTGAACCCTACGGTATTGTACTGCGGGTACAAATCCCCAGAGCGATGGTACAACGGACTGACGTGACCCGTGCGTTTTTCCCAACTGCCATGATAATCATAGGTCATAACGGACATGAAATCGGTCACTTTTCCTATCGACGCCAATTCGTAAGCGGCTTCTATTACTTCTTTGTAACCAGAAATTCCCACAGCTAACATGAGGGGTGGACTTTCTTTATCAAACTCCCTTCTGAGCTCCTACAAGACTAGCAGTTACTTTTGGTTCATTGCCGGGAAAGGACCCAACCTGTAGTAGTTTTGTAAAGTTAGGTTTATCAGAGGCCGGCCCCTTTTTACAGTTGCTTTGCCAGCATATCGGATAATTCCAATCTAAGTGTAATCCTTTGAAACCATGGCGGCGTAGGAAGCTGACGGCGTTTGCAACAAATTTGCGGCGAGCCGAACCGTCGCTCACCAGTTTTGAATACTTGTCGCCGGCAGAATCCGTCCATCCCCCAAGTGATAACAGTACTTTAGCGTCTTTAATTGAGGTCACGCGCTCGTACAAATCTAGAACGTTTCTATTAACGCAAGTATTTCACGGTACGCATACCCACCATTCTCCACGTCAACCCAGTGGTCATGCTCCTTAATCACGAATTTCTCCGGGTCTAAGCTTCCGAAGGCATATACAATATGAGTACATAAGCGTTGATCTAAGTATTCAGGAACGAACTTTCCTTCTCCTTTTCGATAAAACGACCAATTTGTGAGATAGCACACCACCTATCCAGAAGAACGTGTGACAACTACTTGCGTTTATTCATTCTTACCTTTGGAGATTTGTCTTCTTCTGCAGCTTTGTACCTTAAAAAATTGCTAACCTCGCGAAACGTATTCGGAAAATGAACCGAGTGTCCTGGACGACACATATCTGCTTCTATGTAATCACATTGGCCTTTTGTCGGATCAAAAAGCATGTGAGCTGCACATGACAAGTGGTAGGATAAACCATTACGACAAATATAGTAGTGGGCGCAATTTCGAGGATCACTGTATAGCCCATCTGAGTTACAGGAACCGTAGGGTTTTGTCGGTACATAAGACGCCACGTTGTTTGCTTTACCTCCTTAAATTTGAAAATGAGTGTCTATCGTAGCCACGCACAGTTTGTACTCACCTTTATAATTTTGTCTAATTAAAGACATCAGCGGCCATTTTTTTCCACACAACCCCTTGAAATCATCGAGGTCTACGGATTTTAGAAAGAGTCCACCGACGTTCATTTCTTTTATGTAGATAATCTAAAATATATAATTTGCAATTAGAAATAAATAGCCTTTAGTTCAACACAGTTCGATGTTGGTTTTAAATGCCACTGTGATTATACATTTTCACGACTTCTACACGTTGCAGAATGACATAACATTCCATTCCATGGCTATTTATGAATAACTGTTGTCTCATTGCGGACTACTCGAAAAAAAATTACTGCTGTAGCTTCATAGCCACGACATCCATGTTATAAATAGGACACTGTAACGGGAGCCTGTTAACGGGGTTTATTTAATTCAAATTTTACTTCACTTCTTTCGATTTTCTATGGGAGCGAGTACGATCCTGAATTAGTAAATGCGTTTGACAGCTTAAAGTGCCAGTAAGTCGTAGGACATGTTGACGCAATAGTATATTAAGTATGGAGAACGGTAAGGGATTTTTACCGTTCGAAGACAATTGTTTGGAGGAGGAGCGAAGCGACGACTCCAATTATTGTCTGAGAACGGTAACCCTTAACGTTCGACGTGCTTATAACATTTTTTGCGCGATCGAAATTAAAATTATGCAACCAATATAAATATGCACTAAGAAATTAAGAGCAGAATAAATCGAAATGATCGAAGTGGTATGGTGTACATCACTAGGTAACCAGTTTATTTGTCAAAATTGAAATTAATAATTTCATAAAATTGTGCATGTGTCTGATGTAGTTTGCTAGCTTTGCACTTCCTTTATGACTTTATGAGCGTCTTTCTATAGGAAACAACAGCATAAATTGTACGTTTAATGTACCTAACAATAATTAAAGATTAAATGTAATGTAAGACTGTTCATTTTGAACTGATTTAAAAAGGCATCGGTAAGTATTTTTGCTGTTCTGTTTTTAGATCGGTAAGTAATTTTGGCGTCGTCGTAATCATAGCAACTGGTAAATGCTACGTACTGTCATGGAAACACACATGGTAAATAGTCAGAAATGACCGATCGCCTTAGACCATATAGTACATGGACTGCTATTCGCCCTATGCTTTCAATACAAAATGGATGGTCACGGATAGAGGGCACTGTAGTCGTGGGTATGTGAATCTCAGGGTAAACTAAAGTCGTGTAAACACCACTAGGATCGTTTAATGAGCAGATTTATAGTAACCGCGTAGTAGGAGAAGCTTTAAATACTCTTCATTATTTGCTATACGTCCTCAAATAAGAATAAGTTTGCTTTTTTTGGGATATCTAGGCGATTAATTAATTGACGTTTGTTAATTTATAGGTTGACAGTCTCAAATCGTGCCTCATCGGACAACTTCGGACAGACTCGTTTACCCTGAAACTCACATAGCCAGGCGATGTCCTTGACCATATTTTAGTTACAATTAGCAGTCCATGTACTATATGGTCTAAGCCGATCGCGCAAAAATGTTTATTATGCAGTCGTGGTTATTGGTCCTGCTACGTGACGTGAGATTTTCTGATTCAACGGGAAATTGTTTACGTAGTGTAAATTTAGTGCTGTCAAGAAATCTGATATTGGACGAAAAAATCATAGTTTTTATTGGTGGAAACGATTTGGGTCACAAGATGGGTGTCGATCAAAAAAGTAAAGTAGTGGGAGATTGGTTGTTCCGAGAAACCGTGAGGAAATTAACATTGAACCACCGTCGTTTTATATTTTAGGAAAAATCCGCATTTAACTGCGAGAAAATTTGCACCGAGAACCGTTAGAGGGTTTCCGTTGACCCGTCAGCGCAGTTAAGTGGGTTACCTGTAATTTGGCGCAGGGTGCGTATAAATTGTGTTCAGAAAATTTGTCCACCAGATAAGTTACGTTAACCACCTGTGAGTTACTATGGGATGTTGTTATATATTGGTGTAGCTGCACTAATACTTAATCCAGGGCGCGTTTGCTTATGAGAAAAGTAAAATCAAATGCGGAAAATTTTCAAATGTGCATTAAAGCTCTTCGGTTGCTTTCGTTTACAAGGGAGAGCTATGGTGTCCAACTGTCCGTGAACACGATAAAGGCCAAAAGCTTGGGCCGATGCGGTTCAAACTTGGCACAGTTGACGTATATGCCACATATGTAACAAGTCTAGTGGAAATGGGTCAAATCCAATGACCCCGTGGAGTCACGCCTCTCTGTCTCAAGTCGACAATATTTTTCGTGACGGTTTGAGAGCGTGTACCTTGACGCTAAATTTTTCGAGCAGTCAGCCTGCTTAAGTGAAAACGTAATTCGTCGGTTTCGAAATAAACTGCGTAGAAAAAGGCAATCTTAATAAAATATTTAAATTATATACAGGGTGGTGACTTGCGTAACGCATCATAGGGATTTCAATGTAAAATTCGTAACATGCGATTATTGGTTCCCCAAATTATTTTAGAGCAAAAATGTATTGTTTTTTGTAGAAAAAAATTTTTTACGTCGATCAACCGTATTAGTTTTCAATTTTTTGCATAATAAAGACGGAAAATTGGAAAAATAAACCCCCCATCTTTTTCAATAATCTGTGTTGCCATGAAATTTTATAATACAAAAACTACACCAATATCCGTCATGCCATAGAATGCTTGCTATAAAACAAATCAAATTCTATCAAAAAGTATTATATTTAGAACAGCGAATTCAATATAAAGAAAGGCCAAATTACTACAAACGGTTTTCTAATATAACAATTTACAATAAATGTTCGAATAAGTCTCCATTAACTGCAAGACAGTAACCAAGTCAATCATAAAGTCCATTTCGATCAGCTGCTAATTGATAACTGAATATCTTTTTGTTTTAGAAAATTCCATGGTATCGCAGATTATTGAAAAAGATGCGGGTTTTATTTTTCCAATTTTCCGTCTGTATATTATGCAAAAAATTGAAAACTAATACGGTTGATTGGCGTAAAAAAAAATTTTCTACAAAAAACTTTAACACATTTTTGCTCTAAAATAATTTGAGGAGCCAATAATCGCATATTATGAATTTTACATTGAAATCCCTATGATGCGTTACGCAAGTCACCAACCTGTATACCAAATTTCGTCAAAATCAGAATTATTTCGCACCTCCATTTAGGGGTGCACCTTTTGTGGTAGGAATTTTAAAAATTGTGATGCCAAATTGGAAAGGGCATACCCAAAAACCTATTCAAAAGGGTGTCTTTCTAACGTTATGGGTGCTGAGAAAAAAAGAAGAAGAACAAGCCACTTTTTTTAGGGTAATCTGTGGGTATATGTAACACCCACGAACTTATAAATTAAGATGGACTGCTAATGGTGAATTGACAAATCACACCTACATGGGGGCAGCCCAAGGATGCTATATATTATATATTATATATTATATATTATATATTATATATTATATATTATATATTATATATTATATATTATATATTATATATTATATATTATATATTATATATTATATAACATCCTTGGGGGCAGCCATGATGTGCACTCACGTGGCGCGAAATTCAAATAAACTAATAAACAAGCATTAACCTCACGTTTTCTAAATAAATTACTGTGACACATGTCATTTTCCAAGGCTGCAATAGTCTCAAAACTTGACCACTAGGAAAATTCCCCTAGAAAATAACTAAAATGTGCACATCATGGCGGCGCCCATGCTAGGGCCATTTCTACCTTTATGCAACTGTTTGATCAGCAGTCCATCTTAATTTATAAGTTCGTGGTAACACCCGATCTACAAAGGACACGTTTTCTTTAAAACGTATCACCGTAGTAAAGCTTTATTTTCAAGCAACATTTATTTTGAGGTTGAACAAAAGCTACTAAATTTACTGTCACCAAAAAAATATTTGCCATTCAACCAACATCAAACAATTCTTTTACTAACAATGAACGCTAAGAAACTAAACACCTACCTTTTGCTGAAGACTTTCGGGATCATCATATCCAATCCATTGATCCCCATTCACCACGTAGGGAGAACCCGAACTGTCCGTCTTCCGTATTAACCCTTCGTTAATAATAAGATCGCATATTTCAAAATACGCCATAAAACCCGGATTCTGTGTGTAATAACCTTCCCGCCCAGGACCTTTGATTAACGAGCCTATTTCGAAATCGCTGCTCTGATTAAGTGTAAACGTTCTTCCATAGAATGGCAACCCGACGATTAGTTTTGCTGGTGGCAACCCTTTCTTCAACCAATATCGTACGCCATACTCCTGAAAAAGTAGCGTAGAGTATGACCACTGCCGGATGATAATCTTACGACGTTGTTAAAGACATCCAAGTCACTATCTTGAGGCCTCATATTTAGCGGCGCGTGATGATCGGCGATTGCCTCGCGATCAACCTGAAAATCGTACGTTTCGACGTTCACGAAATCGACAACCTGCGCGAGCTTTTCGACGTTGAAGCCGTCTTCTATGCGAAAACGGGAAGCCGGCGCCGAAACGGTCAGTAGCCAATTGTACGGTTTAAAGATCTCCGACAACTCCTCCACGAACAATGCAAAAAACTCCTTGTCAGTGACGCGACCACCCAATTCCATTGCTCCCGGATACTGCCAGTATAAGTCAATTCCATCAAATTCGTATTTTCGAATTAAAGCGACTGCCGAACGAATAAAATCGCGGCGAAAGAGTGCGTTAGAAACTAAGCTACTAAATCGCCTTGAAGATTGATCTCGACCCTCGCCGACCGATAATAGAACTTTCAGTTGCGGATTTTTTTGTTTTAAACCAATCACGGAGCGATATCCACCTTGAACGACGTCGTACTCCTCATCCCTGGGAATGATTCTGTAGCTGTGGGGATCAATGGTTGCAAATGCGTAAATCACATGCGTGCAAGTGAATGGATCTACATCGTCGGCGTTGAATTTGAGAGGATCCTTGCGACGACCGGAAGCTCCGTCCACAAAACATACCACTTTCTTTTCCAAACTGGTCTTGATCTCCGTAACCGTTTCTACGTATACCTTTTCTGAAAAATGTAAAAGTAGAAAATGGGCGGAACAGGCCCAAGAACTATACCTGAAACCTGCGGTTGGGGTGGATAGTAATACCAATAGATGGGTTGCGTAGAATACCAAGTCACTGCTCTACCGTTACGTTGTAAACGCCCACTTAACAGAGCTTGAAGGTATTCCGTTGCATTATAGTACGTTGCATCTGACGATAACCCTTGAAACAAAGAACTGTATTTCTCCGGTATAGAAAAGGGTACGGTTTGCGCTGACGCGTGGGCGTATGGAACCTGCAATTTATTTCTGTTGCTGTTGTAGATCTCAGGAAGTTCAAATTCGAAGTCGAACGCTTCGTCTGGAGGTGGTCGTCGTTCTACAGCATCCCGAAGGGGCAGTCTTCTCGTAGACTCTTTTCTAAAACAGGAAGTCGAGTTCTGTACGATTGTCGTATATCTCTGATTTACTTACACATTGGGAATGCTTTCTACTGCGGAACGAAGCGGGAGATATTTACTTCCAAATCCTGTGTATTCAACAAACTGTGCGCTACGGTCTGCTGGGCTGTGCAAATGAGGCGCTCTTTCTACATCGCCTCTGAAAAATGATGCTCCTATGGGCGTCCGTTGTTCGTTTCGTTTACTCCTATGTAACTCTTTTTCATCGGCCACATTGATACAAAGTGCAAAGAGGACGGTGAGTGCCTAGAGAATTGAACAAATTACGCATAGTAAGTCAGATTATTTCTTCTTCGTCAGTGCTGTTTACCCTTGAATGCGTCATTCGTAGTGGGTAGCGAAAGAAAGAGAGGAATAGTGACCGCTATGTAGCATGAATAAACAGAAAATAAAGAAATTGAAGATGGGACGTCCCATAGAATAGCTGAAGGATCTATGGAAAATCTCTGATAGCGGATAGCCCCTGAGAAATCGCATGAAAGCTTCTTTTTACTCTTTTCTTTTTCCAAAGCAGTAGGGTGCGACATTGCAGCCACTTTCTCTGTCCGTTTGTTCTCTATCAGAGGCCTTAACTCCCCCGACAGTTTTCAATATATTTAGTGCGTTCTATTTGTATTCGCTAGCTATAGCTCTGATACTCTAGCCCAAAAAATCTAATTAATGTGCGCATGCGCAGACTATGCAATGTGTAACGGGAGTCCACTACTAGACTTTATTTGAATTTACTTTCATTTCCTATTGGGTTGAACGGCCGCGATATTCTCATAGGTACCGCTTCATGCGAACGGTAATCTCGAGTAGGTTTAATGGTGACAGCAAGGCAGGATTGGATATCGTGGGTTAGATATAGCAAATGGCCGCAAGTCGTTCAATTTCCGTAGGGCCGTTTTAGTTTTACTGACATTTTGCACATAAGGATGGTGAATGGTAATTAGTAGAGAACGCGGCAGAGAGTACAGAGTTTGGGCGCGCGATCAAATTTGACCCTCGAAAAATTTAAGGGTTGCGGTTGTATTAATAAAAGAAAATCGAGTAGGCCGAGTAGGTCGCGTCGGACCATAAACGAAGTCAATTAGTTTTTAAACCAAATTCGTGGTATTCTGAACCAGTTTAATCGCGGAGAGTAGGTATATTTTAATGCCAGCTTTACTACTCAGTGGATTTGAATTATGCTGCGCGCTGCCCGACACTAAATTCGAAGAAGTTTTAAGCTTCACCCATTTAGGTACAATATTGTTAGGGAATTATTTTTTTCATTACAGCGGAATACACAGAATTTCTATTAGACTTTGGATAGTATATTACCCCAAATAATAAAAAAGGGGGTAAGTAGATTGGTATATGTAGGAGAAACAGATATTTTTTATTTAATATTTGTAAAAGTAAAACAAAAACACCAATAAACCACAATAATATATTAAATCTCGAAAGCGTTTCAACAGCAAGACTGTCATCATCAGTAATTATTTGAAATTTTAACTGCAGATGCTTATAGGTAAATGTGTGGCAAATAATGTGCGCATGCGCATATTGCACAATTCCAACTTTCTTAGTTGTGGAGGTATTTCTTTGAATCTTGTAATAAGGCAAACATATCGCATACTTATAGTAGTAATCTAATGTGCGCATACGCTGTACGCAATGCCAATTTTCTTATTTACAGCGACATTATTTTGACATTTTAACCATAGATGCTTTTAGTATAGGTATAAACATATCGCAAATATATAAAATCAGATATGGGGATGCGCAAACTACGAAATTTGCGGTTCAGAATGTTCAGGCAGACAGTGAGAACAAGAGTTTTAAATGTGATCAGCGTAATTATGCATCCAACAATAAAGATAATTTAAAAAATCGTGGTCTAACCCAACACATAATATATATCTTTAATTGTTAACATATCTACATTCAAGCATGTTACGTGAAGTCTTTGCGGTCGAAGGATACCTATTGTTTATTTTGTGGTCAGTGTAATTATTCCATGAATAGTAAGGCTGTTGTGTTTTAAAGCATAATCGACGTAAGAGAATGTTGGTGAGTTGTTATATACAGTTGTACGGGTGGGTTAGAAGTTGAATGATACATACATACATCTTTATTAACGAGCTCCTAGCGAGTTTATAATTTTGCGGTGTCTGTCCGTCTATCCGTCCGTCCGTCCGTCCGTTAGCAAGATACTTCATAAACGAATGGACCGATTACGATGAAATTTTGCAGGTGGATTCTTTAGCAAATTTGTAGATCGGAATTCGTGAATTGGCAATGTAGTCCAAAAAATAAAGTAAGCCCTTTTGACATATCAGTTAGTTATGAACCGAATTGCATGAAATTCAATATGCGCATAGCTTTAGGCATTCCAAAAGTTGAGCCTAATCGATCGGTATTCACAGTGCCCTTTGCGCATCTCGACCATTTACAGACCGAATTGCAAACATTTTTATTTATGAAGGCATTTAAATGAAATTTGATACTTAACCATTTGGAATAAAAGCAAATATAACGCCAGTTTTAAAATTTGGTTTTGCGCATGCGCAGTTGCCAACTTTCTTATTTATGAAGGGATTTAAATGAAATTTGATACATAGCCACTTGGAATAAAAACAAATTTAACACCAGTTTCAAAATTTGGTTTTGCGCATGCGCAGTGTCAACTTTCTTATTTATGGAGGCATTCAAATGAAATTTGATACATAGCTACTTGGAATAAAAACACATGAAGATCCATTTTCCAAATTTGGTTATATGTGGGATGTGCAGTGCCAACTTTCTTATTTATGGAAGGAATTAACTTTTAATTTATTTGTAATTAGGATTGCGCGTACACTGTACAGGCTAATTCAAAATAGGGATTATATTTTCAAGTCTCGAAAACGGCAGTATAAACTCAATTGCACTTTCAGATTAGTAAAATTTCACTTAAAAACCTGTTAATAACGCAATGTTTACAAACAGTTCCCACCTACACACGCCATTTGTAAATTACACTATCGTCTCGGGTGTTATCTGTATTGCGAATATCAACATTTTACTTCTCGAGGTGTTTTTTTTTGGAATTTTAACAATAGCTGGTCCAATAAAAGTAAACTTAGCGCATATATTGAAAATCAAATCTGTGTATCCTCGGACTAGGCAATACCAACTCTCCCTTATAAGATATTTTTCCATGAAAATGCTCGTGCCCCTAGTTTTGGGTAATACGATATCATATACTTATGTATGTAGAATCTTTTTACTTTTCCGCATTCATACATGGATAGGTGAAGTACCTATTGTTTTTATCACAAGAAAAAGTCCGTTATTATTGTTGTCTGGCTTGTTAACAAGATAATAGGTAACTCAAATTTTAATAGGACAAATTTTGCAGGAGTACCTATTACTTGCTCGTTGGAGCTTGCACCTATTAATTTATTTCCAGACAGGTAGGCCGTATCGGGTAGCCGTAACGGTAGCATCGATCGATTATATCAAACTTGTGAAAAACGCGAATTTATTTATTTTTTGTTTTATTCCGCTCGAAATAGGACTACCCCACCAGCGCGAATGTTTCTTTTTCAATTTTATTGTTGAAAACGCTCATACGGAGCCTAGTTTCGAAGTTTGTATGACACGTTTTAACGCTCGAATGTGAAAAGGCAGAGTACGTTAGTTAAGCCGGGCTCAGACGACTCGTGTACTTGGCGAATAATCGTTACTTTCGTATACTTGGCATGTCGTGTGAGTGGGTTACTTGTACAATTAATTGTCACTCGTTATAGTTTTCCATTTCTTGTCGGTAAAATTGGTCCGAGTCAAAGGTATCACGATTATTCGCACACTTGCCAAGTACATACTTATCTATACTTGTAGAGGCGCTCAAACGGAATGCACAAATAATTTGCCTTTAGTGCGATTATTAATTTAGTTTTTAGTTAAAGACGGAAGCGTACAGACGTTTTTTTTTGTTTTTTTTTATTTTTTTATTGAAATGGAGTGGACAAATGAGATTGTGTTGGAATTTCTTGTTTTTTATGAAAATGAGCCGGTCATTTGGATGGCTAAACACAAAGACCATGACAATCGAAATGCAGTTAATGATGCCTGGAAAAGGATACAAGTGTTACAAATGTTCGCCCCAAATATTCGCCCTCGCGTACTTGTACAATGTACACGTCGTGTGAGTGCCCTGCTTGCCATCGCAATTCGCAACTCGCCAAGCTCGTATACTTCCCAAGTACTACGCAAATAATTGTGTATTCGCCAAGTACACGAGTCGCCTGAGCCCGGCTTAGGTGAGGATTCGAAAGCCGATTTGAGATGCGATAGCCACAGTTCGTGAAAGTGAATTAGGTACTATTGGTTTGCAATCGGCAGTGGTAAGATATAGATAGGCTATAGTCTATAGAGCATGTTGCGTATACGTATTTTTTAAAATGTACAATCTTTATTTTCGTAAATAATAACACGCATTGAAGTCGTAAATATCTATGTCGATGTAGTCGCGTCCTATTTAATTGAGATTCCTGATAATGCGTGCGTTGTCTGATGATAAACAAACAGGTAGGTATGTTTAAGATTTCAAAATTTGGTATTGCCGATGCGCAGTGTCAACTTTTTTATTTATGGAAGAATTTAAACGAAATTTGATACATAGGTGCTTGGAATAAAGGAAAATCTAGTGCCAGTTTCAAAATTTAGATTTGCGCATGCGCAGTTCCAACTTTCTTATTTAGAAAAGCATTGAAATGAAATTCTTCTTATAAACAGAAATTAAAGTAGCGCGTCAAAAATGGATTGCACATGTGCAACGCTATCTTTCATTATTGTGGCCGCAGAAAAAAGAAAGCCGAATAACCTTCTGTTCCACTGCACACGCATGATATATCTAAACGACACCAGTGGCGTAGCATGCTCAAATGGTAATTGGCACCTAGGGCAGTCATTAAAATTGCGCTTCTTCATAAATTACCTTTTGTGCATGTGTATGTGTAGAAATAACTTTCTTATTAACGATCCTCGAGATCAACTTTTATATTTGGGCAATCCCAATTTTTTTATTTGTTGCGATATTTAATAGAAATGTTGTATGTAGGCACTTCGAATAAAAGTAAAACTAATGCCGAATCAAAAAATTTGTTTTGCGCATGCAAACTAATGCCGATTCAAAAGTTCGTTTTACAAGTCATGCTGATCTGGTGGGACAGAATCAACCCCTTAAGGTGTATTGTAAAAAAATGTCGAGGTATTCAGTTGTATGGGATTTTTTATGAAGCGAATTTTATGTAATTTAAGTTTGGAACTCATTTGATGAGCAAACAAGTTGGAAAGTACTCGATGATTAATAGTTATTTATATTATATAACTTAGTTACTCTTATATACAGAGACGAAAGCGCGAAAATAACTATTACCCAAAATCGTCAAGAAACCTTCATTTTTATGCCTACTTTATGTCAGGAAAGGTTAGTGTCAAAGACAGAGGCAGACCGACTGCTTTTCCTGCCGCTTGTCGCTTTACCGGCCGCACCTGTCAAATGTCTGTAACGACTTCTGTCATCACTGACAGATCGACAAATATGTTTGAAATTGAAATTTTATATTAAAATACGATTTCGGGTAAAATTTAATACAGAACTCGTCAGTAAAGTGACATTACCGGATTCTGAAATTAAAGTACGAGGCCCCTTTCAATATTTCCTCGCCAGTAATGTATCATTTTCATTTTCCTCAAGTCGCGGGCTATGTTTTTAGCGCCCTGGGCTATATTTAGCTCGGCGTCCCCGTCAGCACTAATGTTTATTAGTAAAATAGCGTGCTTAGTGACCGAGTTTCATACGATTATCTATTTGTTTTGATTTTAAAATTCACGAAGAACCCCAGAGGTGGGGAATTGCAAATAATGCAAAAAAAAGTAATTTAGCACATTTTGCCGCCTCCTCGAAAGTGGCGCCCTGGGCTATAGTTTTAGCCCATTTATGCGACGCGAGGACTTTGCTATTGCAGCCGACCGACCGACCGATTGATCGAACAGCAACAGCCAAAGTGAATATAAGTATCAGCGCTACTTTTTTTCAAAAACGCGCTAAAAATGAAACCCGTAAAAACACAATAGTATATTGAAAGACAAGTGTTACAATGCGACCTATTGTAATACGACTATCTTGTGGCACGAGTGGCGACGCGAAGCGTAGCCACGAGTGTCCGCAAGATAGGAGTATTACAATAAAGCATTGTAACACGCGTTTTTCATACTATTTTTTCTATTTCGGTGCTTTAATTTAATTTAAAAAATCATTATCAGAAACTATAGGGAACATTAGAACTAACATGTTTTATGTTGGGAACACTTTTTATGCCGTTAAGTTTTAGGTTGGTAGCGTAGTAAGACTGACATTTTGTAGTTCAAACATGGAAGTACCCAACGAAGTACCTACCTGTACTAACTAGTAACTGCCAACTTAAGAGATGAGTTCCCAAAAAAAACGACTATAATCACTGTCTTTGTACAACTGTTTAAAGGCCGCTTGACATGGAGCAATACAACGCGCAAGAACTTGCAGAAAGAAATTGCAAGGTCAAATCCTTGCATGCAATAAGCATTGCATGGTATTTGACATGGTGCAATTCTATTTCAATTGCCACATGTCTGCCAACAGAAGAAACATATGGATTTGTCAACAAAGTAGTTAACCTCAAATGAAAATTAAATTTTGATTGCTTGAAGAAACATAAAAATTACAAAAATAAATAAGATTAATAAAAACAAGTAATGAGTGCGTCTCTCAGCATCATAGTTGCCGCCGCTGTATTTTACTAGGTTGGTGACACAAAAACAACTAGATTTATCCCTAGAATTGCACGATTCATGCAAGAAAAATAGCACCTGTCCTATAAAAATTGCATGCAAGTCTCTTGCAGCAATTGATCAGCTGGCTTTGAACTGCGCATGCCTTTCGCAATTTTTCTTGCAACTTGCATGCAATTGCAATTTTTATTGCTCCATGTCAAGCGGGCTTTAGGCCGAAAACAGTTGTACAAAATCATCATTGTGACACCGAAATAGAAAAAATTATATGAAAGACCAAAAATAGCACAGAATGAGCACATTCGCAGTGGCGTAACTAGGTAGGTGCCAAAGGTGCCGCGGCATCGCGCTCTGAATGGGGGAGGGCGCGCCGGAGGCGCTGAAGCACCGAGGGCACTAAGTCGGGATGGGCATCGCGGTGTACCGTATAGGCCAGTCATAAAAGACAAGAAAGGCGGTTAAATTCTAATAGTTTCCTAAAGACCAATACAGGGTGCAGTGAAATATAATTAAAACTAAATTTACGGTCCTTTAGGATGAACGGAACATCCAAGGGATTTCAGCGCAATTTTGTGTGGCAGATCAGTACTTTTATTAGCCAGTTTTGACTCCGCAATCAATAAGATCTTGTCAGGGGGCTACCACATTCCCTTTGTCGGTACCCACTTCTGACGCCCCCACAGACGGCGGAGGTATACAAAGTTTGAATCAAAACACTTGTACCACACTATGATAAGCGCCTCAATATGAATGGCGACTATGTTGAAAAATAGCCTAAGAGTGTAGCTTCCAAATGTACTTATATAATAAAAGTTGTTTCTTACACTGTCTTAATTTTTTATTTTAAAACGTCTGTTATTTTCTGGATGGCCCTACCGTTACAGCGGTAGGAAAAGGCTGCAGATTTAAGCTAATAATAATACTTTATTTGTGATATATACAATAGTCTGTATTAGTGTGACCAACATTTGCACCCTTATTCTAAGACGCAATCATTTCTACGACTTGTACCCTATGTCATAGCTAAATTTGACGCGAGAATTGAGAACATTATAAATGTATTTTTATTCTTCATTGAGTGAAAGACTTCGTTATTCAAAGCATTTTTCTAAAATTTAAGTAGTGCAGTGCTTTTAAAATTTCGTGTAAGTTTCTCTCAAAAATGTACAATGTTTTATTAATTAGAGCTCAATGGTAAGTGATAAGGCGCGCAAATATGGTAGGGCGCCAAAACCAGATCCGGCACCGCTTCGAAAAATACCTAGTTACGTCACTGCACATTCGTACTTCCATTTCCACTTTAAAATTGTATTTTAAATTGTCATGGCAACGCTACTTTGGTTTTTCTTACACTAGTGAAAGATTTATTATCGAAATGATTTGCGCAAAATCGGCCCTTGCCAAAACTTCCGCAGCAAAATCCGAGGAATTTTATAAACCGAATTCAAAACATTTAATGGGTAATTTGTCTCAAATTCCGTTACACGGAAACTAGGCTTGAGAGACTAATTTGTAACACTGGCGCGTATTATTCCAGTATAACGTAAACATTTAAATCGGTTCCCAGCAAAAAATGTATGAACCTCGGTATGAACATCATACGAGCGTAGTAGGATACCTCCTTTCAATTTTATGGACATCAGTTATCACCGCAATCAAATTGCGAAGAATAGTCAAACTTGAACTGAAACTGATACCTATCAAAAAACTAAATGCGAATAACGATGTTGAAACAAGCAATTTTGTATTTTTCTAATGCGATATTTCAAGCCATGGCGCCAAATCTGCTTGAAAAGATTTTGTAATCAAATCAAACCGCTCCACCACCTGATGATTTAATACAGCTTGACCTTAACTAATAGATAAGATGATGGTAAGCTATTAAGAATATATTAGGTTGTCGCTCAAATAAAAACATATTTTAAGCAGGTAAACAGATAAAAAATGTGGAGCAATTAAAATCGATTGTTCTTCATTGTAAAAATAAGTCACAACCTGTTGATCAAGATACTTCGCTTTGGTTTTGGCATTAATTTATTTAAGGCAGAGTTAATAAAAATGTAGTCTGGATCTTAAACCGGTTTTGATAAAGAAAAATCACCTCAAGTACAGTAGCAATCGGGCAAAAAAATAATGTGCCCGTCACCCGCGAGAGATTAAACAGAAACAAAAATTTCCGAAGAAACGAGTTGAATGTTTTATGCAAAGGTAAACGCACTGCTGTCGAGTTAACATTTAAATTTACATGCACGATTTACAGTAAGCGTAGGTACTTACAATTATTCGAAAATCCATCATTTGTTCTGTCCGTACATTTGCTATTTCTCGATTAAAAAATCACTATAATTAGTCAGTCTTGAATTACCCTCGACGCTCTTTCAATCCTGACACTGTTTTAAGTCGAAAAACCTAAAAGAATGAACGTGAGTTCCATTGACCAACATAGTGCATTGAAAAGACGTGCTATTATTAAAATTCAAAAACAGTATTATGTTAATACCACAATAGTTCTAGCTCATTGTTTCAATAAAAATAAATCGCAAGATTCTACAAAAAACCGCACTAATTTAGTAATTGAATCCCAAAAAAGGAGCGGCGACACTTTGTGCAAACCTGAACTCACTTTTTTTTATCGGATGAGCGACATCGAGAAACGACTTCAAAGGTGACAAAGAACAAAATGCTCTTAACGTCTAATAGCTCTCTTCTTATAGACATCGCGGTACTGGATAGCGTGCTAACCTCACGAAAAGAAAAACAAGTACAAGTACACAGATAAACTAATCATTATAAAATTGCACGATCAAACTTCGCCGTTTACCAAAATGTACGGTTTTCGCGTAGCTACTTAAAAAAAACATTGCATTTTTGCCAAATGGCACTGATTTACCTTGAACTTGAATGTTATTTTTCGAGTTCGAGGGGAGAAGGGCGCGTCTGTTTGGCAGACAATGTTATCGATCTTTAAAGACGCGTGCAAGATTTATCACCAAATGATCGTTGTCGATACAGATTTATAGATCTGCACCTAATATGCATGTCGGATGAATAACGACAGAAGGAAAAGAAGATCAGGAGAACAATGAACCGAAATGCACAACTTGATTCTCCACCCAATCGGCAAATTCCATCTTACTCATATGTTATTCAATAAAAAAAATGGTAATTAAATAGGAATTAGGTAGGAATGTGGTCATCCAGTGGTTAGGTACATTTTGGAATTACATTGTGAATCGAAACACGTTTGTTTAGTTCATCATTTATATCATGCTCATTCCGATTTGGGAAGTTAATCAATTCTTCCTATAATTGTGTCGTTCATTATTCACACTTCGGAAAAGAATAAAACCACCACTTGTTATGCATAAGGACAGCAAATTGAAAACTTGCTGGAGAAGGACCTACGAAACAAAAGGCAGCTACCCTAGGGTGTGTTCTACCACTTAACCAACTGTGTTCGTTAATCTCATACGATTAATCCTCTCATGTGTTTATAATCTGTATGGATAATTCGTAAACGTAAATACTTTTCCATGTGTGTAGGTATACGATCATTATTTTTCCAATTTGTCATTTCAATATAATTTAACGGTAAGAGGTGAGTTGTTTTAGAATAAATCGTAGATAAGATAAAACAATTGTATTGCAGAGTAATAGAGTAATATCATTGATTTATGTTTCTTATGATAGGTATGTCTTATCTGGCCGTTCTTATTGATGTATTTACCTACGTTAGATTAGGTGAAGACCATACCTATAAATGTATGGATTGTCTAAATCAACTATTCGCGTCCTTCATTAAGCCTAAAATTTGCGTGCGAGTATTGTTAAACAATCACAAACACAAGCCACATCCACAATTTTTCCCACAGCCCGGTGTACGAAATAAGTAGGATAATAATGGTCTGCGTTCAAAAAATCATTCAAATAAAATTTTTCTGATTTCTGGTGAGCTGCCAAAATTAATGGAAATCAGAAAAAAAAATGTTTTCATTTTCATTGACTTTTACTGCACGCCCTGTATATTTTTATACTATTTGGTAGGAAATATTTTTGTTTTATAAAAGTTTCACAAGTTATACCTTCTAAACGTAATAGAATTCGGGATATTAAAGAAAATATTAAAATAATTTTACTGGAAATTAAAGCTGGCTATGGAAACAAAATTTGACATTTGCATTGTTATGACTTTGTGAAAAAATTTATTGAATTGATAACTTAGATTATTATTTGTTGTAAAAATGGAAGAATACTCAACTAACGAAAAGGTAGATTGTTGAAATGTTTCCATTTATCAAACAATAATGCAAGACAACCCTGCGATTATATCGACAACAATATCCTGATCGCTTTCATCCAAATCAAACATTCTTTTTTAAATTTGAAAAAAGCTACATAGAACTGGTTCTCTAACTACCGCAAATCGCGAAGTTCGTCAAATAAATGAAAATTTGGAAGCTGAATATTATAGCATATTATTTAATGTGCATCCTAGAAATTTAGTTAGAGAAGCTGCAGTAGAATTAAACGTATCGCATAGGTACACGTGGTACACAGGATTTTAAAAAAGCATTAAGTCAAAGCATACAAAATACATAAAATCCAGTCTCATTCAAATCCACATTTTCTAAAAAAATTTTATGGACAGATGAAAGCCATTTTCCAATAATGGTATAGGTACGAGTTTTTAACAGGCATAATACCTACGCATTATTGGCAAACTACAGACATAAATCCACGCGAAACATGTAAATAGGTATAAGTACATAAATTATTATAAAAGAATCGAGACACAAATATGAATCTAGAGAACTAAAGGCCGATTCTCACTTTCGTGCAAAGAACCGGCTCGGCAACTGCACGGCACATACTCGGCACGGGCAAAGTTTTTTGAGTTCAATTCACACTGCGACACGCTTGCCGCAGGTAAGCAGTTTCTACGTGAGTTTCTGCTGTGAAAATGTTCGAAACTTCCACGTTAATTAAAATTGGTCTAATATTAGATGATGAAGAACAAGAAAGTACATATTGCAGAAAAAGAAAAATACGTTTTTGTGTACATAAAATGCATAAGAAGTATCTTTTATGACCGAAATCATTTTCTCGGACACATTCAATCAGCATCTCATCTTGTTCCGCTGAAAAAGTGTTCCTTTGCTGACCCTTCAACGTTTCTTGTACTATGAAAACTGAACTAAAGTCGGTGACCTGCACAGATTGTATTCACACTTGTCGGAACGTGCACGGTACATGCCCGGCAAATATTGTTTCGGAAGAATGCCGCGTGCAAAGGCCGTAGCTTGCCGAGTCTTTGCTCGCATAGTGTGAATTACACCCCAAAAAATTCATAAGATTCAATAATATAGATATTTTGCCGAGTCGGTGCCTTGCCTGTGCCGAGTACGTGCCTTGCACGAAAGTGAGAATCGACCTGTAATTCACACTATGCGAGCAACGACTCGGCAAGCTACGGCCTTTGCACGCGGTGTTCTTCTGAAACAATATTTGCCGGGCATGTACCGTGCACGTTCCGACAAGTGTGAATACAATCTGTGCAGGTCACCGACTTTAGTTCAGTTTTCATAGTACAAGAAAGGTTGAAGGGTCAGCAAAGGAACACTTTTTCAGCGGAACAAGATGAGATGCTGATTGAATGTGTCCGAGAGAATGATTTCGGTCATAAAAGATACTTCTTATGCATTTTATATACACAAAAACGTATTTTTATTTTTCTGCAATATGTACTTTCTTGTTCTTCGTCATCTAATATTAGACCTATTTTAATTAACGTGGAAGTTTCGAACATTTCCACAGTTGAAACTCACGTAGAAACTGCTTACCTGCGGCAAGCGTGTCGCAGTGTGAATTGAACTCAAAAAACTTTGCCCGTGCCGAGTCTGTGCCGTACCGTTGCCGAGCCGGTTCTTTGCACGAAAGTGAGAATCGGCCTTTAATCTTCACATCCCACTCCACCATTTACCGATTAAGTAGCAAATTGATAAAAAATAAGTCTCTTTTGAATATCCATTAAGCGATGCAGTTGGATTGCAGCAAAATAAGCCAATACAGTTATTTTTTGTTCTTCAGAGTCTACCACAGGCTTCCTTGTTTGTATTTTTGTTTGAAACATACCGTTATTCCTGCAATTTTTGTAGTAATTTGCGAATTGTATTCTCTGTGGGTCGCGCGTTTACAGGGTATCTTTCGGAAAAAAGACAACAAGTCCTGTCCGCTATTCGATTACGTTCACAGTGTATTATTAAATTCAAAAAAATCTTCATTAGTGTAACCCAAACGCGCCTTTACTGACGAGAAATCAAAGTTCAAAACTGTTCAAGAAGCGACAATTTGACGTTACATTATCATAATAAACACAAAAGAATAACATCAAGCGACTTAACTTTTTTATCAATTTGCTACAAGAAGTAATTAAAATATGGAATATCTCTGAAACCGTTTGAAGCAGCCTTTGACATTTTGTATCAAAATTCAAATTAAAGGGCTCGGAAAAAGGAAAACAACAGGGAAGAAAAAATGGGGGGGGGGGTTCCATTTGAAAAAATGGAGTTACGGATATTTAAAAGTTTAGAGCTTTGAAAAAGTGACGTAGTCTCACTTTTTTAGACGGTTACGCATAGGTACCATAAGAAAATTCGATCTTTCCTTAATAAAGCAGTGTTTTGTGCAACTGTTTTGCCATACCTATCTCTTTTACCGTTTTCGAATAATAAATTTTTAAAATTACCCCCGCAAATTCAATTTTTGACATAAAAACTTGAATATCGACGAAGCCCTTGGAGCAAAGGGTCAACTATGATGGGGTGTACTCCAAATTCGACGTAGAATCCGAAAATGTAGAAAATTGGTTCGATTTTTTTTCATGAAAAAATAGCTAAATGATGCCCAATGAAGCTCGCGAAAACCGCATCTCGATATCTTGTTCCTAACCTAAAATTTAGACCAAAGAAAATGTTATACCATCAAATTTTTATTTTCTATTTATTTTCACGAGCTTGTTTAGGCAACATTTAGCTACTTTTTGATGAAAAAAAATCCAACCAATGCATTGAATTTTTTTAAGGAAATTAACCATTTCTGTCGGAATGTCGAAAAAAGCCCTCAAGCGGCGATATGTGAAACTAACAAAACTTCAAATATTTTAATATTTGTAGCATAATATTTGTAGCCGAATTAACCCGAGTTTGTTTTTGTTACGTTAATATAGCGGAATTAACAAACATCACTTTTTTAGATTCCAGTTTGCAGTTAGCGGCCATTTCAGAAACTTAAAAATATTTTCCAGGTTGTTCTCGTGGCCGTTTTAGTAATAAATTTTTTTACCGCAAGCCTCTACGATGGGTAGGTTCTCAGATACAGTAACCTCGTATTCTTAGTTGGCCACCCTGTACAACAACAACCAAAAGAAAAATGCCCATATAATCTTGAAGAGATTTAATGTGTTGATGATCTGTTTCCCGTAGATACTTACCGAATCCGCGCTTAAGGAAATTAATGCGCTTTAATTTTGTTTTAGCATTCCCAGTACCCGTCGGCCACTTGCCCTTTAAAATTCCTGGAGCTGCCACTTTCTCCGTCTGAGTTTGCCCGAGGTTTCCGAGACCGATCCGCCACACCGCTACTGCTGCCAACCTTGATCAGGGGCAAGTTTGTCACAAGTTATCAGTAAGAACCACATGGCAGTATGGATTGC